TTGTCCGATTCAAGTCAAATATGAGCCGTTTTATTCGCAAACTTGTTGCAAACGAAATGCATTCATTAACCCCTCTCGTAGAATGCTGCGTCCCTATTGGCAAAAAAAAAAACACGGAGAGCCAATTTTCACATTTCTCTCTTGAGGCCAACTTCTCACCATTAAACGCGTTCGTCATGGGCAGGAAAAGATGGTAATCACTTGGTGCCAGGTCCGGACTATAAGATGGGTGCAAAGACAAGGTATTTATGACAACTTTTATATATAAAAAATATTTATTTATTTATTTATTTATTTATTTATTTATTTATTTATTTATTTATTTATTTATTTATTTGTTTATTTATTTATTTATTTATTTATTTATTTATTTATTTATTTATTTATTTATTTATTTATTTATTTATTTATTTATTTATTTATTTATCTATTTATTTATTTATTTATTTATTTATTTATTTATTTATTTATTTACTTATTTATTTATTTATTTATTTATTTATTTATTTATCTATTTATTTATTTATTTATTTATTTATTTATTTATAATATTTTTAATTGTACTTTTATATGCTTTGCATTCGCAGTAAATAATACCTTAACCTAAACAGGCATAAGCACTCACTTGCGTACACATACGTACATATATGTATGTACAAATATTAGTTTTATTAATTTGAGCTTTAAAAGCATACATATGTAAATATATAAATCGTACATAACTATATATGAATGTATGCGTGTACATAACAATATGTACAGTCAGACGGTTGCACAGCCACACAACACAGCTGGTCAAACGTGCAAACGCCCAACCCAATCGGTGCCGTTGCTCACCCAAGTAGAACGCATAAATAATACTAATAATAATAATAAAAATTAAATTAAAAACATTTTTTAAAAATAATAATAATTGAGATATTCATTGGAACTGCTGGTGTACGACGCATGACTACATGCAATGTTGTTGTACGTACATAAGTGTTACTAACATACACATGCACCTACAAACTCGTATTTATTTTATGGGGATGGGCTTAAAATTGTTATCAATTATTTTATTTTTACTTTCTTAAATAAAAATTTCAATTTGAAGCTCCCGCTGGAGTGACTCATCGCACTGGTAAAGATATGCATAAGTACATACATATGCATGTTTGAGTCTAGGTTGCATAGCATGGACTTTATGATGGAGATATGCAATCATGTGTAGTACATGCGTATAAAAAAAGAAAATTTATTGCTTACAAACAAGTTGAAGAATTTGCGTTTCGAATTTTTAAGGAAAATTTTTTACCATATTTTTAATAGTTTCTTTTTGCAAATTAAATGAATAATAAATAAAAAAAAAGGGTTTTCCAATAAGAGCTGTTATTTCGAATAGCCACAAGAACTACTGAAAATATTGCTACTGTAGCTTAGAGTGTTGGAGAGCGCCCAGTTTTGTCTATTTCTCGTCGTTCTCGGGAATTGAGCATTCCGCAAACGTCGTTACACCGCATTTCGCATAGAGACTAGGGTCTTAAACCTTATAAAGCTCAGTGAATACCAGAACTCAAGCCGGCTGATCACCAAGAATGTCGTTCGTGTCTTTGCTGATTGGGTTCTTGAAATGCATGAAAATGATCCCGAATTTCATCGATAAATCATCTTGATTGCTGAGGCCCATTTTCACTTCGATGGCTACGTCAAAATTTATTGTTGAAAAGCCTCAAAGTGCAACCGTGTTGTGCGGTTTATGATTCGGCGGGATTGTTGGACGTTACTTTTTCGAAAATTAAGCTGGAACAACAGTTAAGGTGAGTGCGTTGAGTTAACGAGAGATTATTAATTTTGATTGAAAATTGATTTTTTTTATGGCCGGCATTGAATGGTATTGCCGTAGACAACGTTTATTTTCAACAAGACGACGCTACGTGCCACACAAGCAAGGAAATCATCGATCTTTTATGGGAAAAGTTTCCGGACCGTGTTATTTCTGGAATAGATGATCGCAATTGGCCGCCGAAATTTAGCGATTTAATACCTTGCGACGTATTTCCTTGGCGCTACGTGAAAGATGACGTTTAAGAGGCCAACGTTGATTCAGTACCTCAAAGATGGAATTCGTGCAGCTATTGAGGGCTTACAGCAGCCACTTTGCGATTTGGTGATGGAAAATTTCATAAGAAGTGTACGGTACTGTAAGCGAAACTGTGGCGGCCATTCTGCTGTTAGCGTTTTTCAATAAAAATTTTGTTGGTATGTTACTTTCACTCTAAAAAGTTGTGCGTTATTTAAGCATTTTTCAAATATGTATGTCTGTAAACACATATGTATGTATGTTCGCTACGTTAATTAATCCACCTTGATAAGCTCCGATTTCCTCATTATATTTTTTGCATGACTTACGGCGCGTCTACATGTGCATTCTTTACATATGTACATACATATGTACATCTGTACATATGTGCTATTGTTTTTCCACTTTTTGCTTATCCACATTCTCTTATACGAATGATAGATAATTTAAAATTCTGTAGGCGTTTACAAAAATCGCAAAACAAACAATAATCAACGCTCAAGTTCACTACTCTTCCAGCGTGTCGGTTAGTTGTAATGTTGTATTTTTTGATTTAGCTATGTTTATCAAGTCAACGCTTGAGTAAATTTTTATGACTCATTGCTTATTGTTACATTTTCGTGATATATTTTGAAAGATAAATTTGTACATATATATTTACATATGAATATTTAGCAGCTTAAACTTTTTTTTTTGCAATTTTTCCACTTTTCTTTGCAGGTGTGAAAATATGTATGTATGTATGTATGTATGTACTTGAGGTTTTAGTTTCGTTTGAATTTTACGCGCTCTTTTGTATGCAAATACTATTCATAACAACAAATATATTTATGTATATGTATACCTATATGTACACGTATGTATGCACATTTATCTCTGGAACATTCATTCCACACAGTCGCTGCACGTTTGACGCCTGCTGAGCTTGCGTGTTTAAGCCGTTAAAATTCTTTGCAATAATTACACGCACATTGAGGTAACATATATTTGAATTTGTATGCATGTACATACATACATACATAAATAGATATGTCTAAATCTCTAGACCACACTCAGACAATTATTTGGCGAAGGACAGTTTCAAATGTTGATATGAATTCCCGTGAAATCTGATGACTTCATTTCAAGTTATTTACTCAAGTGTTTTTATGGTTTCATTAATTATCCTCCTCTTTATAGACTATATTCATACATGCATACATACATTAACATATGCATATGTATATCAACTTGTGATTAATGCTGATTTAACACGATGTCTACGGGAAGCATTTATCAAAGGCTAATAATTGTCATTTTATATTTTCACCTTACTTTGGATGACTTTCGCTTAAAATTTACAGTTATTTTCATTAGCATGTTTAACCATGATTGTAAACAAATAAAAATTAATTTATTTATTTATTTATTGATTTACAAACGAAATTATAGAAATTTGGAAATCTTAAAATATTCTTAAAATAAAAAAATATTTAAATGAAAATTGTTAACAAAACATCACAAATGTCATTTTAATTATAAACGAATTACATAGAAATTAAGAGAATTTATTTATTTTATCAAAAACATTAGTTGCCACAGCGAACTTTTATCCGCCTTAGCAACTAGAAATGTTCGAAAAACAAGTCCAAACTCAGAGATTCTCTATTGGTTGTTGTTATAGCGGTTATTCCAACCTTGCTTAAAGGCAGGCTAGGTAATCTGAGACACTGAGGCCATCTAACGGGAAGCCCAGGAAACGAGCTGTTTCGTCGGGTTCGGACCAGAGGGAGAGAGGATTAGACGCGTCGGTTTCAGGGAGCATGTAAAGACATGGTTAGTGTCGTGCGAGCGTTCATTACATACTGCACATATGTGTGGTAGGAGTTTGGTAATGGTGGTGATTTGACACGGAGGGAGTCTTGAAAGGTGTTAAATGATTCCTGGTGAATGGCGTTTAGTACCTGTGTGATGTGTCCGGGTGGAGGTTCAGCCTCTATAGGACACCTGTTTTGATGCTCCTTAACACGTAACTTGGATGTTCCGCTGTACACGTGAAAGCGGTTTTTTGGCCGGCCTGCAGCCTCTTTAACTGCGTCTCGTTTGTCCCCGGTGCACAGATGGACCGGCCGGCCCCATTTCGGCTATCTACCCTGCAGTTTGGCATGACCAACGCGTAATCTATCACCCGATACAAGATGTGACAATTAAGTAATGAGACTGTATCCACAAAAACCGTATATTTCAAAATTATTCCACAACTCTGCCATCCCTTTCAAAGTAGCTATACAACGATTCCAGCGCGTTTTCTATGCTTCGACTGGGATGTCTGCGAGTACCCTTGACACGGCCGCCTGGATGTCCTCAATTGACTCAAAATGGGTTCCTTTGACCACAGATTTTGTTCTTGGGAACAAGGAAAAATGACATGGTGACAAAGTCGGCGATGATTGCGGCGTGCGAAGACAATCATTGTGCGTTTGGTTTCCGGGTCGTATTGGAAAAAACCTGCTCTCATCGCCTGTAATAACTGAAGCTGTTTCGCTCAATGTGGTGAAAAATTTTATCGCGTCGCGTTGCTTGTGATTTCGGTTTTGCATTTTCGTGACGAGCACCACGAGCACACGTTTACTCAACTCCACATAGCAAGCGAACTAAACAAGCTAGAGCGATGGCGACGAGATATATCAATGGAGAGGAGGATGCCGGCAGAAGAAAAAGGGAATTTCAAGGTCGCAGGGTTACCACAACCGCGGCAATATAAATAGTCGCATTACTTCATTGCCATACCTCGTACTTCTAGGCTCAATATCAGGTGTGATCATGAAGTATTTTATATGAACCCCTACACGATTGTTGGCATCATCTTTGCTGTTTTAGTTAGTTAGCTGCGCAAAGTAAATTATTTTTTCGCTGAGTAAATAGGAAACTTAGAAGCTTAAAAAAATATTTCCTATTTATTATTTACTTCTCAATTAAATAAAATACTAAAAGGCCAACAGAAGAAATACTTCTAATTACATATGTCGATACAGTTCACACAACCCTCAACTGATAGTTCCAGTATAGGGATTGACGCTCACAGAAAATTTAACAAGACTTGCTATTGAAGAAGCTGCGCGAGGAAAATAACAGCTTCCATAGTACAGGTGCCAAAATGCCCGACGAAAACTGACTGGCCAAGTAGAGGGCCGTATCGTCGAGTTTCTGATGGTATACTGCGGGTATTAGTGCAATTGCGGGATTCATAGAGGCACCAGTCCATTGACCCTACGTAAAGGAAAAGTTTATGACGAACATCAACATAAGTAAAAAATGATAAACTCTTCGGTACTCACACCAGCAAGCGTGCAGGCAGCCACCAAAAAGCCAATACGCAGCGAAACCGAATCCAAATATGAAGAGTTCCGCGCATCCCACAAAGCACACCAACCGAAAATCAACGTTGTGGTCAGCACTGACTCAATGACAAACGTTTGATCCCAAGACAAACTGCCATTCGGTTTCATCAGACACAAATCATTAGAAATTGCATCTGAGGGCAACATGGCGGTAAGTAGAAAGAATCCCGTTAATGCGCCAAGAAACTGCGCTGCCATATAAATCATTGCCATCTTCATCGATATGTAGCGCATCATGTAACAGGCGAGTGTGATGCAAGGATTCGCATGCCCGCCAGATACAAAACCGAAGCAATGTATGATAATCATAACAACGAGTCCGTATTGCAGTTTCGGCATTTCACTGCCGTCGGCACAGCCAAGACAAGTTAGAGCCACTAATAAGGCTGACCCCGAGAACTCGCCAAGATAGCGCATTATTGTTATAAATTTGGTAGCCATTTTTCAAAGATTTTCGTGTTTCCTACACTCCGTCGTTTCACTGCTTTTTCTTTGATTTATTAACGAATTTATATTAACTGTAAATTTATTATCACTTCTTATTCAGAATTTTTTTCGGTTTTTGTTTTAAGAAACCAGTCTAATTTAGAAAAACTGTATTTATCATAATAAAATTTTTAACAGCAAAGGAAAAGCGAATTTCTAAAATGAAAAAAATATTTGTTTTTATGAGAGTAAAAAGGGGAAAATCTAGTTGGGATATGGGGGGAGATCCCCTAAGTAACATCAGGTTCATCAAGTTCAGATGTATTTGATACTAGACTTTTTAGGCCACAATAAAAAGTGCAAGCGGCTAGGCTTGTAGTAGGCAACTTTAGGTCCAGAAAACGAGCCGTTTCGACGTGTTTGGATCAGAGGGAAAGGGGGACCTGATGAGTTGCTTTTAAGAGGTATGCAAAGAGGTTGTTAGTGTCGTTGTTGGGTATGTCGTAGTCAAGTCTGGATAGTTAGGAATTAAGTAGACTACACAAATATTACGCGGGGCTCTGGAGACATGCTTGTCGGTAAGCCGTCCCGTTCAGCGGTTCTCGTAAGTAGTACAAAGTTAAGTACTCCTGATGTGCCCAGGTGTTGGTTCGCCAACTAGTAAGTGTCTATTGGGGAACTCCCTAGGGAAGCATTCCAGCAGATATTACTTACACAACAACACTTTATACTCCTTAGGTCAAACAAGTCTTAAAGGAGTTGATGTGGCATCCCTGTAGCTTCTTAAACTGCGTCACGTTTGACCGTCCATTTAGCCGTTAAAACAATACCGGCCGGCCAATTATCTTGTATGTCACCATCAACGAATGAAGGAGTGCAGACTGTAACTTAGGATTGAAGAGCCCTTGATGTTCGATAGTTCGATAGTAGCACTGAATGATTGATGATAAGCTCTACGAGTACAACAAGTCCTGCAGAAGGCCATAGAATAAATTACTGTATATAAACTTTCAATGACAATCAAGCCTGAAACCAATACGGTCAAAATTTTTGAGTATACAACAATAATAATAAAAACAACTGCATTCCGGTAAGCCCTAGCTTCTAGATAGTTGACTGAACTGTATGTATATGACATTTTCAACGATTTAAGAGATGCCATAAAACACTGGATCTCAAGTACCAAAGTTTTGGTACAATAGTTGATCTTATCGATAAATAAAAAAAAATTAGTTAGATAATGATCTGACCTTATGCTATTGTGGATATCAAAATAAAAAGACTTATTTAAAAAAAAAAAAAAAAATAAACGAGAAACGAAAATTACAAGGCCCAGAGGTATTTCCAACACAGGAACCATCAGTACAACAGCAAATATTATATTTTACAACGCAAACACTCAACAACTGAGCTGAACGGAAGCTCTAATCTACTTACACCTACAAATAAAAAAAACACCGTGTAAACACACAATACCTTTACGTCAATGCCGTAAAAAATAAAGGAGAAATAAAATGCCACTCATAGATAGATATTTGCGCAACAAACACAGCAGTTCGCGAATATTTCCTTAACCTCAGACAACAATATCCTGTTTACTGGCAGGTGGGATGGCCAAGTAGCGGAACAGTGACAGTGAGTTTTCATACCAAGACATCCGGCAATTACGTAAGTTATGAGGAAAACGGTCATTAAAGGACAACGACCTGTCACTTGCAGAATATTTGCAACAAGGATTTAAGGAAATAATCGGGAGTTAAATATGTGTCATATTGTGTGTATACATATTTAAGTTTGTAATGTAAGTCAGCGTTATGGTCAGTAGGTGCCAACATCAACAAAGTAATGAAATAATAGCATTTGCTGATAAAATTCAATTTATCTCTTAACAAGGTTACAACAATAAATTTACCGATGCAGAGGTATGCAGATGAAACACGAAAGTGTGATGCACGTATGTATGTACATGTATTGTAATAAGAGGAAGTAAAGTATAAGACTAAGTTACATAGCTTTAGTCACTCACTTTATATTATACGAATAAGTATAATCTTTTGGAAAAATTTCTTTGACTTAGTTAAACAGTTGCTATCTTTTAATACAAACTTAGGTTGCACGCACCACACTCAGAAGTTGAACAATACTGCTTTTGTTTCAACATTCCATATTTCTTGTGGTTATTGGATTGTTGCAGCCAACAAACTCTTTTCCTTTTCGTTCTTAATTATACCTTCTGTGGATACCTACAAAAACTTACATACATATGTACATAAATACATATATGTACATATATATGTTTTCGTGCATTCCTGCAGGGATTTACACTTCCAAGCATGACCGCTTTTACACTTTCACACGTTAACACAATTGCCTTATTATCACACTCTCTAACATATACATACATATATATATAATGTATGTACATATATATCACATGCATATAAACATTTATAAACAAAAATCTTATCCGTGCATGTGCATTGAATTTTCCAATTTTGCCACAGCAAGAACCGTGCAACCCCGCATTATCACGTCAGAAGATTTTTCATCCCTCATTGTTACTCGTTTCCTGCATCACATGCACTTGTAGGTGTTTCCAATTGTCTCTGCACAGTTCCGGCATTTAATGCATCATGAAATATACGATATGAGAAACAACAAAAATTCATACAAATAAGCATTTACTTTTACTGTGAGAAAAATAAGCTGGTAAATGCCAATTTTTATCATCGAACTTTGTTTAGTTTTTCGGTTATTCGTGGTTGTGTTGCATTGGCTAGAAATATTCCTAAAATTAATTTTCCATAAATGTACAGATGTAGGTCGAAGACGAACTGATGTACTACTAAGTTGTGATAGCCGGGCGTATATGTGACTTGCTAATGTAAGAAAACACCTTTTTAATATATTACATTATACATATATAGTGGATTTTGAAACCATCAAAAACGCCTCGTTATATATTGCACTGCAATATCAAAACTTGAAAAAGAATATGCATATGGATGTTGCAAGTAATGAAAGATGCAGAATCACAACAAACACAATAGGCAAAGCAAATGTAAAATCCCAAAGAAGAAAACAAAATTTAAGAGGAACAAAGGAACATAAATATGCATTAGGAGTACAAGGAACAGTAAACAATGAAAATGGAAGCCGGGTAAAATATACGAAACACGATTATGTAGAGGACACACCAAAAACGAATTTCAATAGACGACCGATTCAACGCACACGAGTCTGTGGTGGGTGGCGATAGCTTATGCTACACGTATGTACGTACTTAAGCAGGAACGCAGCATACACACATCTAGGCCTAATTAACACACCCACATACAGCAGGCATGCAGAAACATACATATAGATATGCAAAATGCCTTATAGTTTTACTTTTAATTTATATTTAATTTTCATTGATTAATTTCTTTATTTTTTTTGCACTCTATTAACAAATATGTATGCATTGATTACTCACCGTTTAAATCCTTCGTTAACTGGGAACGCGTCGACATTTTACCCAATTTGTGCAGAATTTTTGCGGCGAAAGTCAAGTGGAGCGCAACTGGAGCGCAGCAATGCACGCCAGCAAAACAGGATTTACCGGAAACTTATCGAGTAGGCGGCGGCGGTGCAGCAACGGAAGGGCTTGTCGTTGTTGCCAGTCAGGCTGGTGGCCTTCTGTGCCCTTCCAACACTTATTTATCGTTGTGGTTGTAGTGAATACTTTAGGTTTATAGCCCTTTTTTCGTTTATTTCTTATTATTACTATTATATTTTTTTATGTCCAACCGCTTGGCGTTTCCAACTACTCTGATGAACTGGACAAACGCGTCTGCGGTGGAAACTGGATTTGTAATTTCAATTCGTTATTCTTTAGTTATTTTTATAACTTCCCAATACAGATTTTATTTAACTTTCTTTGTTGTTTATAAGCGAGCCACTGTATGTAATTCACTCGAAAAATTCACAAATACTTTTATTTAACATTTTGGTAAGCACAACTCTTTCGATAAGAATTTGAAATGAACTGTAGTTGAGCTTCAGATTTTTAATTGGTATTTTTATGAAATATCAGCTACTTGTAATTCACTAAATATGCGTTTTGCACTCCTTTTCACTTTTTGCAACTCAATCAACGAACTTTCATACAACAAACACAGGCGAGTGAAGAGAAAAATTGAGAAGTGAAAATCCACCCTCTTATCAGGAAAACTTTATTTTCAGCACTTTGAGCTTGTATTTAATAATTTTTTTTACAAAAATATACAGTGGATCTTTATCGGGTTAATTCCTTCACTTTAAATTCAAGATACTTTCATTCAAAAAAATATATTTTTTTCTGCTCAAAACTCTGCACTTTTATCACTTTGTAAACGCACCATAAAAAACTCCAACCGACCGGAGATGTTAATGAAAACAGAATATTAACCGAAAACCAGCGCAAACACAACCTGACCCTTTATAATCTTGAACGAGAATAAGCTAAAATGAAACACACCGATACCGATTTAATGTGAGTCGCATTCGTTCAGCAAGTAACCGGTGATTATCGAGTGCTTGAAAATCTGGCTCGCGATATACTTTTTATCCAGCAGAGCTGATGGAGTTGTGTTCACTGAGCATATGACATTTTCAATTGAAAATGTCACCACACAACAAAAATGGCTTAAAATTACAGACATATATTATAAATTATTTATAGAGAAGATAATGTAAAAAAATTGCAAACTTAATCGAAACAAACGATTTTTCATACCGAAGAATTTTGCAAAATGTTTACAGTAAGCGAGAACTCGCAAGCAGCTCGATCACTGGATACAAAAGTCAATAATGGCAACCTTGTGTAACAGCAGGCAATCAGCTGAGTTAGATTTATGTAAAATAACATATCACCACTGGTTTTAACGCAACAAACAGTAACTAGTCCGATAAGCGATGGAAACTTTTTATTTATTAGCATGGCACTTTTATAAGATACATAGGTTTTGACAGCTGTGTCGCTATATTTTTGGCTAGTTCCTGCACATAAGCCTGGTCGCCCCGAACAAACACATCATTTGTTGTATATGCTGCAACTCTAGCCAATTGTACCAGTTTCATCTTGTTTCTGTTAACGGTCTTGATAGATACACTACGCTGTTAGGCTGTGGGTTCCCTCACAGGAATGTTAGGGTTTATAGTTGTATTACAACCGGATTCGAAATTTCCGCCTTGATCAGGGTGAGAAGGAAAAGTATAAACAAGATATGATATTGCAACCCTTGCAACGACGAAAGTCAGGCCATTGGACTAAGATAAAAGTGGTCTAACTGGTGGCAATGAGGAGAGGTTTGAGGCGATTTTTATTTAACAATCCAATGATCGAACTCAAAGGGATTTGGGAAATCATAGACACGTATTAAGCCAATATTTTTAATTAATTGTAAAGTTTTCATTTGTTAATCCGATATTGAATCTGAGGGACTTAATGGATTGACGTGGTCACGCAAAATCTGTTCCTACTAACAATTTTTTTTGTTTTGGCATGGTTTTATTTTTTAGTTTATTTTATATTGAGTTAATGAACATTTCATTGTATATTTAAGGATAGTGATTGAAGTATTTGATGTATATTTTATTTGTCAAAATTACAACAAATTTTTGTTTAAATAACATTAATCGCTTAGAATGAATTAATTGGACATTTAATGTGTTGGCAACCCTATACAGTATTGTTAAAAATGCGCATTTTGAGAGAAGTTCGTGCAGTGTTTTGTGAACAGCTCGAGAAGAAATTGTTGAAGAATATGGTGCATTTAAGCGTTTTAAATAAAACCAGAAGGTTGCAAAGGATGCTGGTGCCCTTGAGTGAGTATTATACTATTTAAGAGCAACCAACATTGTGTCGATTAACTCGTGAATTACGAAATTAAATGTTTGCTATCTGAAAAAAATTTCACAATATTGACATAACGTGAAAGACATTCTGTCAAAGTCCGGTGAGAACAGTTCTTGCATGCTCAGCTGAGATGAGCAATATAACTTGTGCGTGCGTTGCGTTTAAGGAAAATTCGAAAAAAAATATATATAAAGTTTAAACAAAAATTAATTAAATTATTCGTTTTGAAAATCGAAATTGGTTGCATCTAACACTTCCTAAAGCATTGAGGGGATAGGAAGAGGGAACAGACATGGAGCATATGTTGGAGCAGCCGCAGTTGGCTAGTGATGTACCGGCGCAACAACTATATGCTAAAAATTTGGTAGAGCTTGTAAAACAATTGATTACAGAAAAAGAATATGATGGTGTTGCATTACTATTTACAAATGAAGCGGAGGCCCCTCGAAATCGAAGCTGCCTCGAAACTGTAGGCATGGAACTGTACCATGAATTTTGCGAACCGAATCTTACAGCGGAAGTACACGAAGAACAACTGCCATTATACAATTGTGCTGAGGAGCTGCTTTATTTAATAGCCTCTTATGCCCCCATGGAAGAGTTATTGCTTGAGCTTTTAGAAATGATTGAAGATCAAAAATCAGAGTTTGTCTATTCTTCATCTTTACGTGCCTTACAAGCGGTGTTACTTCGTATGGGTGATAAGAAGCCGCGAGCTTTAGAATGGAGTTTGAATTCTATACACACACGCATCGAATCATTGCCTCTGCCTAACTTCCTGGAAGAAGGATATGATGAAAAACAAGAAGCTTTACTCGAACAAAATAACCAAATTGAGAAATTATTAATGCATTATATCACACTAAATTTATTTTATGAGCCACTATTAAAAGATATACTAAGCAGCCAAAGCACATCTGGCCCAGCGTTCTTCGATAAAAGCATAAACAGAAGAAATGTATTATGTTGTTTCCTAATACAAATGTTGGGAAAACCTTTGGCACTGTTGGATTTGTCGGCTGATGGACGTAAGACCAACACTTATACGATACAATGTGCGCGTAAACTAACGGAAAGTGCTGTAAATTGTTTGGATAATCCACTTCGTCTGCTCTTCGTTGGGGAGCAACGTATACGTTGGACTCGTCGTCTAGATACCAATAAAGGTGTCCATGAAATGAGTTCGAAAAATATTTTTCTAATTGAAGATAAATTTCCACTCGAGTCTCTATCAATCTTCTTTTATATGATATTTGTAGAAGGAATATGTTTGAATTCGGTGCCAAAAGTTTATGCGCCTCTTTACATATTTGAAATGAGTCTATATTATACCAACGAATTATTGGCGCATGATGAGGCAGCCTTGCATTACCGTGCGCTCCAACTGACAAAATGCTTACTAGATAAATTAAATCACGAAAAGATTGCTGCGATTTCATTAGAGCTGGATGTGCACAAAAATTTTTGTAATTCTCTTTGCAATATAGTTGGCTATTCATCACATAACAAGCTTAGGCAAATAGGTGTTAAGCTGTTACGTCAGTATATCTTGCAATTCGATGATGAAGGAAAATATTTAGTACTAAAAAATCTACTTCGTACTGTGCCCCATCATGGTATCTCCGGTTACTTGGCTATAATATATAAAGATGTGGTTGCGAATGCTTTAGTTTCGACCTCGACGAATTTACCGACCTCCTTTTCTGGGCAAGACTTCCGCACAATTTTCTTACGATACATATGCCATTTACCGCATGGCGCGAAAACCGATCTTATTGAACATGCCGATAAAGTCATATCTTCGCTAAACGCTTTGCGTTTCTTTGCAATTAAAGATTTACAAAATCGTACTGGCTTCTGGGATATTGTGCCGGAAATAGAGCAACAATTCACAGATCCTCTGCGTAAGGGATTAGATATATCTGTGGCACACTATAAAGCTGAATTGCTGCGTGTAGAAAATGGGTTAGATGCTGAAACCGAAGCAGAAGATCGTAAGAATTTGGAAATACTAGACCTGAATATAGCTAACGCTTCCAAGGAAAGTGGACAAATGGATTTGGAAATAACACGACAGCGTAAAACCGAAATACTTAGACAGAATCTTTGTACATTTGATTTAATGAGAAGTCTGTTGGGGCGAACAGTTGAATGCTTTGAGAATTCCAATAGGATGTAGAAAAGCTGTGCTGCCTAATGTGTTATTATTATGAGTGCTATGCACGTAGGTTAGTTATTTATGTATAAAAGTAAAAATTAAAAAGTAATAAAAAAATTAAAATTTATAAAATCTTTGTAATCACTTTTCCTTTTTTTTTTTTTTGCATTGTAATAGTCATTATTATTGAAGATTATGGAGCTGTATTGGAACTCTTCATAGCTTATTTTACTCCTCTTATAATTTATTCTCCACTTCAGGTGCTCACAGCTGCATTCTTGCTTGTAGTGCGAACTCTTCCGAGGTTTTTGCACAAAGATATAGTGCATATGCGAGCGTTAGGCCACTACTTGCAAGTCCCGCACTCAATTTTCATTCGACCTCGTTCCTACACTCAACCAGCATACACTTAAAATCTATCACGCCCGCAAGCGATAGTGCTAGCTCGGAGTCCATAGACAAATTTCGTGAACGCGAAGAGCAACGGGAGCGCGAGTATGAAGAGAAGAAAGAATCTGAGGAGGCGCAAGCGGAGGATGAGGCTAAACGTGCAAAGATCGATGCCATACGCACGCAAATACTAGAAGCAGCCCTACCACATGTAACCACTCTCGGTTGGACCCGCAATGCCATTGTGAAGGGCGCTGAAGAGGCTGGTTTCCCCAGCGTTGTGCACGGTATGTTCCCTGACGGCGGCTATGCTCTTGTATCATACTTTTATGGGAAATCCAACGATGAAGTTGTCAAGCGTCTGCAGGAAGAGACACAAAACGGTAAAATGGCTGTTGGTGATCCATTGGAATTTCTGATACGTGCTGTACGCATACGCCTTGAAATGATTATACCGTATAAATCGCAATGGTCGCAGGCATTAGCGCTGATGGCGCTGCCACAGAATGCCGCCACATCATTAGCACAAGTTTTGACTTTGGTCGATGATATATGCTACTATGCTGGTGATCGATCTGTCGATGTAAGTACACTCATTCATGTGCTTATACATTAATATGTAAACAGAGAAAAATCCAATTGTTTTTTCTACATTCTACCCACAGTTTGGCTGGTATACGCGTCGCGTTGGCTTGGCAACAATTATGAAAATGACGGAACTCTTTATGCTGCAGGACAGCTCAGTAGATCATGCCAACACCTGGGAATTCCTGAGGAATCGAATGGATGAGGCTGTACAGGTTCAAACAATACTCTCTGAAACAGAAGGCATGACACACAGTTTTACACGTTCCTTTAACTCAGCTTTTATAACAGTGAGCTTGAGAAACAAATTTTTTCCACTGCTCAACATACATATTAATTTGATTGTTCGATCATCTTTTCAGGCACGAAATATTTTGGGCATAGATTACAGACGTAGGTAAAGTTTGCGTATAGGCAATCGGATTGTAAATCGAGAGGCTGGAAGCGATACAGAGGTTCAATGTAGACGTAGCACATTGAAATAGTTATATATAATTTAGCTGTTAAAAAATTGTTTATTCATTTTCTTGTTAACATCAAAGTCATAAAGCCAGTGATAAACTGTTCTATACATTAATGTGAATTTTCTTTTCTTTTTTTAATTAGCAATTAAGTATTAAACTTAGATTCTACTTTACTCACATTTAAACGTTAATGAGCTGATACCAAATTAGAACTAATTGCTGACTTTTTTTTGAAATTTAATTTGATATTTAAGTATTTTATATGATTGCTTCGCTGTGTGGTTTGCAACATACAATTCACACCTGTATTGGCGCACACTTATTTATAGTGTGAAATGAATTTGTATTATTGTATTATAGAAAAACAATATTCGCACTTGCACTGACGACGTCAAAAAAACATACCCACCTGATATTGTGTAAATTAAATATACTTGAAGATATAATGCACAACGCTTATTGCTTATTATTTCCTAAATGCAGAAATATCGAACAAATTACTACTTACGCAAATGCATAAGTAATGATTACGACGCCGCAAAGTATGCTTCAAGAGATTTTAAGGAAAACGTATGTGCTTAAAGAAATATTTCTATATGGTAACTGTAGTTTCGAATTGATTATGTAAATATGTATATGGTTAATGAATGAAGTTTTTTTAAGAAATAAAGGTAAAAGAATAAGAAAGGATGACAGAAAGAATTTCTCAAATTATTTAATCTTTCCATAATCCATATTGTCTGAAACTACTAGGAGAGAATCCAAAAATTATTCCTACAAAAACATTTTTGAATGAAATACCTGGAAAATATTGCAGTACTGGAAGTTTAAAGGGTAACTTGTAGTCTAGGTTAGCTCAATAAACGCCTAATCCATCAGGCATTTTTGATTTATCAGTGTAGTTGTTATACATTCCATTGGCGTGTCGTATGTTGCTGTGCTAACTGACCTTAAATGTAGCTTGAAACCTATCTTACCAGATGAAGCGTTGAGGTATATCGCCCTCCTTCCCTCTGTATCCGAAGCGGAGAACTCACTTAGAGCAGTATAGGCTTAATAACTAGTGTAAGAGGTCAATGCATGAGACCAAGGGATCGGCCATCGATAATGTCACTACTGGTCAGGTACAGAGCGACTAATCTTCACTTAGTATTTCCAACTCGTAACAAACAACGAAGAGAAGTACTTGATTTTGTTGTGGCGGTCACTAGCCCTGCTTAGGGATACGCTGGGTATGTTGGATAGGTAAGGTTTAACCTACTACAATATCCACACAAAAGTTCCGTCCGGAATTACGCGGGTCTCTTAAGGCAGCGTTACTAGCTATACCAGTAGCTTTTCCTATATTTGATACTTCCGCTTTGTAAGTACTGCAGTACTCTAGACGCTGGAAGGGTTGTCTAAGGTCCAGCTTAGCGCAATAGACACCTACTCCAACAAGGATTTTTGATTTATCCGTGTATACATATATTCCATTGGCTCCTTAAAGGTAGCTTGAAATAAACCCCCAGCACATCGATCTATTGCTTAAGCGGATTTTCCTGCAATGCTCTTCTCAGCAATATTGATTGGTGGTAGATTTAGTAACCCTTCAAGTGCCTTGGGACTGGTTCTTAGCGCTCTTGTTTTGCACAGTGTGAGTAAGAGCGAATTCCTTTAATTGCTGTAATCGCTCCAATAATTTTCTATACCAGATCCTGTTGGCAGCGGTCCGCCGCAACAGAACACCATAGAGAAATGTGGACTTAACTATCAGTGTAGAATGTCAAGGCATGAGGCCAGGAGATCTGACTTCGGGATTGGTAAGGTCACCAGACTTCTCTTGGTATTTCCAGCTGAGGTATTGTTGATTCGGCGATAATCAAAGAAACGAATAGTCGATTAGTTTTGATGCTTGCCCTTTGAATTCTCCCAGAACCTCATTCGCTACGAATAGCCTAGAAGTTGTGACAGAACACCACCCTGACCAGTTCTTCTATGCGCTAGACTGATCAGTCTGACTTCGTTTCACTCCGCTTTAATCTTCCTGCAGTTCAGGGGAGAATTTTATATACAGTAGGTTGACCGACTCTACCTGGACTGCTTCGAGACGCTCCACTATTGCCTCGTAGGAGACATCATTAAATGCCGCACTTATATCCAGAAAGACGCATAGGACGTATATCTCATGCTCCAGTGAGGTTAGTGAGTATATCTACCCTTCCTAATATAAAGGGTGATGCTATCAAACTTTCTTTTGATGAACATTTTATTTCACGTTCAGGGCTGGTCAACCAGAAATCCAAGTTGATGACAATGGAAAAGACTTTCCACTAACCAAGATTCGAATAGCAATTGCCCGCTTAAAGAACAATTAAGCAGCTGGAGCTGACAGCCCAGCGGCAATACTATTCAAACATGGCGGTGAAGTGCTGAGAAGGTCCATACTTCAGTTTCTTTGCAAAATAGGGTCAGATGAAAGTATGTCCTACGATTGGAACCTAAGTGTACTCAGCCCCACTCCACAAAAAGGGCGACCCCACAGTCTGCGTCAATTGCCGTGGGAAAAACTCTTAAATATCGCTTATAAGGTTCTATCGAGCGTATTGTGTGAAAGACAAAGGCCCACAACCAACAAACTGATTATCAGTGTAGCTTTAGACTTGGTAAACCAACCGATGAACAGATACAAAGTCATGCACCAAATCGTGGAAAATACCCGTGAAAAAGGGATCGACACCCACCACCTCTTAATCGATTTTAAAGCAGCCTTCGAGAGCACGGCTACTAAACGTGGTTTCAGACAGGGTGACTATTTATCGTGCGATTTCTTCAATTTGATGCTGGAGAAAATAATAAAGTTACATTGTCTCTGGCATATGCGAATGATACTGATATTACTGGCCTCAACAACCGCGGCGTTAGTTCTGCTTTCTAAGGCAAATATCTCCTGTCATCAAACAAACAGGCACTCGCGACTTGGCTCTCACGTCACTGTTGATAGTCATAACTTCGACGTCGTAAATAATTTAGCCTTGAAATCCAATGCAGAATCACTCTTGCTAACAGATGCTACTTTGGACTGAGTAGACAATTGAAAAATAAACTCCTTTCTCGACGAACGAAGACCAAACTCTTCATACCCGTTCCATTATATATATATATATATCGACATATGTTGAGCGAGCTGTGGTAGTGGGTTAATACCGCAAACGATTGAACGCTGAGCTGAATGGATGAAACCACTCTCATTTTGAAAGAATTCGATGCAGTACCCGCTGGTAGAAGTAGAAAAAAAGGAAGACCTCCTTACCGTTGGAAGGAACAGGTAGAGATTTACTTGATCCCACTCGGTATTTTAACGGCGCGCTATAATTGATTCGGCTATAATCACATAAGCGGAGGCCAACACCAATAAAGAAGAAGAAGAAGATACTTACTATCTACATATTGAATAAAAAGATGATTTCAAAAATCTGTTTTCGAAACTCACAGCCACTTACATTAATATTAAGATTTCGAAAAAAATATTTTATTTTATTTTCTCTTTTTATCCCAACAACTTTATACAGTTATTTCTTATGTTTTATATTAAATAATGTGAGAAAAAAATAGAATTAATATTGAAAACATTGAAAATTTGTGCAATTATTTACAATTGTGGGTACATATAAAAATTTATTTGATCTTTTGTTTCAATAATTATAATTTTTAGCTCATTTCAGCTACACAAAAATGTAAATAGTCAAAATAAGTAGATATGTAACGAGATATTTTCTTTCACTCATTTCTTATTGTTTTAAAAAACATTATTGTATTTTTATAAATTTCAAGCATTTTATTTATTTTTAAAAACAGTTAATAGAAATACATTTAATTAAGTATCTCTTCATAAGTTTCAGCTTAAATTTCACAGTAAAATGCATTTTTGTTGCAATCAAAAAAATTTTTTTTTGCATTTACGTAGCAGCGCTATTGTCTTTTTTGCTTTAATTTTAATATTATTATATTTAAAATTAGCTAGTTTGTAGAAAATATTAAGCTTATCTTACTCATGTATGTATGTATGTATATGTATAAACTATGCTATTTGGTCTTTTACATTTATTATTATTGAAATATAATTGAGTTTCATTTAACATTTAATTATTTATTTCCCATAAAATAGAGTTTTTAATGTGAAATTTATTATGAAAATATGTACATATTATATATACATATTTATATATGTACACCTGTTTTTGTGCATTCGTTCCTCAATGAAAAGAACACTTTTGCTGTAAGCACAATTTCCCGTTTGTTTCTCTTTTTTGCTTAGCTTTTTGTTTTACATTCTAAATTCGTTTTTTTTTTCTTTCCTTTGCACTGAACTCTATTTGACTACTTAACAAGCGAAACTGTGTTTTTTCACCACACAAACGCCCATTCATTCATAACTTGCACTTGTGATTTGAAAGCTTCCGCTTGAAATTACTCTCACACCTGCTCTAACGATGTGCTCTATGTGTGTGTGCACATACACATGCATGTATACCAGTGCTTTTTTGCGTTTTTTTTTTTTTTGTTACTTAATTTCCATTTTACATCACTTTGCTGCCTTTTATACGGAAATCTAGTCATTTGTAGATTTATTCTTGGCCTGCAGTGGCTTCAAATAAGAGTCATCCATATTTGATGTATCAATCATTTTATCATCATCAGGTGACGATTGTGGAGTCTCTTCGATTTCTTGCTTTGGCTGTTCTTCCTTGTGTAGATTCAGCAGTCGGCTGGCGCACTGTTCCATGCTGTTGCGAATAGAAACAAGAAGAGATGAGTGAAACATTTAATAATTTTGTAAATAATTTTGTAAATTAATGTAATCTAGATAATGGGTCCGTACTTTAGATTCTCGATTATCTCAATTATTTTGCAAAAACGAGCATTATACATCTAGGACAATAAGCCGGTATCAGTACTCGTCACCGATTACAAAAAAGTGTATCTTTAAAATTTTTTTCATTGGGCAGTTAACGTTCTAACCGCTTGAGGTTACTACGAGGCTTTGGAGCAAATGTAAAATTAGGCCGTCAAATCGAATGTGGACTAAATTTGGAGCTAATCTTATCAACTTTCGGTAAGTTGGCCCAACTTATGCAAGTGACACCACCTAACGATCGAACAAAATGACATATAAAAGATGTTTATAAAGGGTTTTCCATTAAGTGGTGTTATTTTGATATTCAAAGAAAAATTAAATTTTTGTTTATCAATGATCGGATGTTCATTTCAATGTAAAGCGGAAGATATGCCATTAATAAGAGAAAAAAGCAACAGCGAAATTTCTAGCTCACTACTCCCTACTCATATAGGACCGTATCCTTTTTATAAAGCTTTCCATCATCAAATCGCGGAGTGGCTGCTGTACGCACTCAATAGTTTCGCGAATACGATCTTCTAGGGCTTGAATCGACGTTGGCCTATTGGCGCAAACTTTACTTTTCAGGTGGCACCAAAGGAGGAATTCGCAATTGCGATCACATCTTCGAGAGATAAGATCGACAGTTTTGTTGCAAGTCTTTCGTGGTCTTGGTGAGAATACACATTGTCCAGATCAATACCTTAAAATTCCGGCCATAAAAAATCTTTTATCATCTTCCAATAGCGCAATTACTTCACCGTAATTGAGGCTCCAGCCCGATTTTCGAAAATGAAAGGCACCAAACAGCTGCTCGTTGAAGATGAAAAGGCTTTTTAACAATAAATCTTGAGGGAAATAGGCATTATCAGTCAAGATGATATTTCGATAAAATACCGTATAATATTCATGCATTTTAAAAGACCTGACGTTGTTGATGGTCAGCCGGCCTGAGTTATTGTGTTAACTGAACTTTATAAGCCTCAACACACAAGTCTATATGCAAAATACGGTGTAATGACGTTTGTGGAATGTCCAGTTCCAAAGTACGACGTTGAATGACAGTAATATTCTCAGTTCTGCTTCAGCGGCATGTACATATTTCATTCTTCACATCATTAAATTGATCCAACGGAGTGTTTCACGATGTCCGAGAAATATTTCAGTTCTACGAACCATCTTTGCAGGATTTCACCACTTTGATGGTGAGTTTTACTAAATTCCCAACCGTTGTTGAAGCGTGTATCGTTGCGTTTTTATGATTTATTTACAGCTTCAAAAGTGAGTACTCTTATTCGAAAACCCTTTTTATTTTACAAAGACTTAATCACTGAATTCCACTTCATCCGCATTGCCGGCGCCACACTTGCGATTGCAGTAGCCCATTCTGTTCTCTCTCTCGACACAAGTTTTGAAAACATTTTCGGTTGTGTAGCTCTTTATGGCAGCAATGGCAAAATCTATTTTGTATTACGAGTCTTGAATCGTCTCTGGCTGCTTAGCGTTGCACCTAAACTTAAAAAGTTTTCATTATTCCAATTTTCTTCGAGCGTAAATTTCGTAAGCCGCAATAATGGTATTGAAGAGTTTCCTTGCAAGTTGGGTCCACCATCATATTAAACGAATATAGATAGCACCATAGTTATATGAATATTTTCATTGAGTTACTAGCTGCCTCAGCGGCTTTCCTTATAGCCAAGACTTCCGTCAGGAAAATACTGAAGGACTTTGTAAGCTTGTACACTTGCCTGAGATCTTGTTCAACTATAGAGCCCGGCGTCCACACCATCAACCATTTTTGATCCATTCGTGTAGACGTTCCACTGGCAGGTTGAATGTTCTTGCTTCATCCGCCCTTCTTAAATATGACTCTAGGGGATAGGCCTAATGTGTTGACCAGGATTATCTTACATGCGTGAGGGCATCACTAGCCTTACTTATCCTTTCCTTTACATTTACCTTCCACATCATTTTGCTGTTCAATATTACTTCCACATACTTTGTGTACTCATTGATTGATAGCTCCACCCCATTGAGCCTCTGGGGCTTACACGTGTATTTTCTTGTGAAAAGAACAGCAACCATTTTGCCAGTATTTGCCTTCTATATTGGCTAATGTCGCCCATCGATATAAGACCGCTAGTCAGTTACTTTTCGTGGAAGCTTATTCGTTACGAGTAGTTGAAGGAGTGCTGACAGAATGCTATCCTGAGCGGTCTGGCTTCGTCCCTCTATACTTAAATCTTCCTGCATCACAGTAGAGCTGTTAGTTAGTAGAAAGATAAGGTGGTGGCCGCAAGAGCCGAGTGGTTAGCATTGCGTACAGCCCTCGTGAAGACCGAGGTTCGCGTCCTAGTTTAATCAACATCAAAAATAAGAAAAATATTGCGGTCGCGCCTTGGCAGGGAATGCCAATCCCTCCCAGGGTATTTCTGACATGAGCTAAAAAGCTGCTCATAAAAATCGATCGGCCATTCGGAGGCGAATGCAAATAAGCTTTAGATCCTTCCACTTGTTAGTAAATATCAGGACGCACACCACAAATCGAGGAGGAGCTCGACCGCTGCAGCGTTACGTCAGGTAACTAGACATAATTAGTTAGGTTAGGCTAGGTGGAATTGTCTGACCCATTGAGTCTCACATAACCGATTGTTAATACATCCCAGGTGTTAGTGGTATACAAGAAAATTAAACAAGAAGTTGAAAGAGTAATTGTTCGGTGTACTAGTCATCGCTACTAAGTCTACTACTACTAAGTCTAACGCTACCCATTTTTAACAAGAAAAAGTCAATGCATCCAGCTTAATCGAATTCTATCTGTTAATGCTTAATTTCAATATTAGACTTGAAGTCAGAAAAGGTTTCGTAGTAATTTTGTTGCGAGGAAGTCCACGCATCTATCACAAGAGTCTCTTTATTTCTTTGATTCCTGTTAAGGGACCAGGAAACATAAGGATATCACTATTCTTACATAAGTTATCTCTAGTCTAACAGACTGGCAATGTATCTAGTCTTTTTGAGCATCGAAATATATTATATAATGACGATTTCAATGTACATACGTACCTCTTAAGAATCTCAACTAGTCTGGTATCTATATATACATTTTTATGGCCGAAACTAGAGCTGAGCCGAATTAATTTGTAGCTGGAATATACATACATAAATCAGTTTTTACATATTGAAGTAAGCGAAATGTATGAGAGGACACTGGAAAATGGCAATCTGATTTCTACAATGACCTGAGAATCAAAATATTACAGCAGCTTCATAAAACTGAGGAAGATAAATTACTCATTGAAAAAAACTCGCAGCAATTTTGGGAAGCACACAACGTACGTGGCGATCGAGATGAGAGAAAGGGGATGTGGCTGAAGTTGCCTTTCATAACAACTTATAATTCTGTTGCTCTCTGTACGATTTTAAACATCGTATTGGCTCTGTTAACAAATGCACGAACCGTTACAATCACCACAGATGATTAGATGGTGTTTACTCGATTTGCACTTTTCTTTCTGAGAGCAGTGGAGGGAAAAAGTCTGCCTATTAGGCAATGTTGTGATCAACCAAAACTAATGCAGGATGATCGATATCCAGAGAAGGGACGATTTCTCCAGCTGCAACACAAGGAGATGATGAACCAAATCAATAATGATACACCAGACATTCCATTATCAGAAGATATTGCCTTCTTAAATAAAAATCATTTGAAGATTTAAATACACAAATATATAGTTTTGATAAGCTGAAGTGATGTTCGGCCGAGCTCCTCCTCCAATTTGTTGTATTCATCCTGATGTTTTCCACATTAAATGAAGGTAACTACAGTTTGTTCTAATTCGCTTCAGAACGGTCGATGGATTTTTAGCTTCTATTTTAGGTCACAAATACACTAAATACACTCGGAGGGCTTGACATTCTCTGCCAAGGGGCGATTGCAATTGGAAAAATTAATTTTCTTATATAGACCGAACCATGCCTCGGCTCCTCGGAATATTAGTTCACAATGCTGATCACTCTGCCAGATATTTATTAAATGAAAAATCGTCGAAAAAATCCGTGAGAAAAGCATTGTCTGAATCTTGTATCCTTTCAAAACTTATACGGATGTGTAAAAGGCGCTGAACAGTACCAGAAACGTAGTAAGATGACTGACAACAACTCGGTATTAAGAGACTGAGTAGAAAATGTAGGTGAGTCGCTTTGTGGATGGCTAGAAAAGTTTCCTATTAAGGGGCACAACTAGTGTAAATGCCTAAAAATAGGTGATTTTTGGGAATTTCTATAAAAAAAATACTTTATCAATTATTTTCAAAATTTTAAGAATAAATTTATATATGTTTCAAGATTATACAGTAATATTTTTGAAGAAATAAATTTAATATTTTTTAAATTACAGTCGATCTCCAACGGCGCGAAAAAAAAAGGTCCTCCACTGCTGAAGTGATTCCGGCCTTAACCGAGGATGAAGTCTAAAAATAAATTCTCTATATGTATGTATTGTCTGTACAATGACCTACGATAAAAAAATCAAAAATTGACAGTATGGCGGCGTTTTAAAAAAAAAAAATCGAATTTTACCCAAAATTTTGGTCGTTTTTGGCCTGTCAAAATTCGATTTTTTGATCAGATCAAAAATTCGATTTTTTGATCAGATCAAAAATCGATAGGTCATTGTACGGAGAACAATATATAGAACTTGTGAAAAAATTCGATAGTGATCGGATCATTTGTTTTTGAGTAATCACTGCAGCAAATTCGGAAAATGCTGTTTCGAGAAAAACGCGTTTAACGAAAAAATGATCGTTTTCACTCGTAGCTAATGAGACTCTCTAGCTGCCGAGCGGCTGCTCTTTAAATTGCTATAACTCAAAAACCATTTGAGATATCGACTTAAAATTTTAATATGGCATTTTTAAAGATATAATCTACCGAAAGATCGATAGGTAGTAATTGTTCGCAATTTGGCTAGCAGCTCTACCTACCGACCTACCTAATGTGCATGTAACAAAAATAGTAGAATAGAAAAAGTATTTTTTTTAATATTATGTGAGTATCTTACTATACGTACTTATTAGGTGAATAAGAAGTACCTTTTTAAAAGCTTTGTCATTCTAGTTTTACATTTAACCTTTGTTACTTTGTTTATGCTCTTCTGTCAAATTAAAAGCAACACATTTTTACACTGGGAACCCCTTCGTAATCAATACTTTTGAGCACATAAATATATACGAGTTTCCTACATTTTATTATAATTTGCTGCATACTTACCATTCCATATTTGGTAGACCCAATAAAGTTCCATGACGTTCCGGCTCATCAAGTAAAAAATCGTTAAGAATTTTAATAATTTCACTGAATGTGGGACGTTCACAAGGATTCACATTCCAGCAGGCATACATGAGGTTATAGCTGTTCAATGAAGTGAGCAAACGAAAGAAAAATGTAATAGTTGAGAAAAGTGAAAATTTCAGTGAGACCTTAAAACAAAAGTACCAAAAAATTTAATGGAATTCATGTTGAGTTTACTGAGTTAGTAAACAAATAAAAGCAATAAAAAGAACACTTGGCCAACAATATTCCTGCCAGTAGCAGTCTGTGCGCCCAATATATGGCTATACAATATATGAGCAACATACACATATGTACGTGCACATTTGTATATGTATATTATATCATATTCATGCGTACGTACATATGCGTATTTGGATGGAATTTGCAAAAAATAAAAGCTCTGCGTGGGCTGAAGATATTTAACTGGAAATTTCATTGCATATCCAAGTTATACACGTACGCATACATACGCATCCGTATGTACGAGGTTTGTTCAAAGGAAAAGATGAATTTTTGAATTTTCGTGAGCTGCGTACATTCAATTTTGAACTTCTTTTTATGTTGGTAAATATATGTTTATCATTATCATTGGCATTATCATAATGATATAACCACGTTTCTTAACCATTTATGATCCTTTCGAGCAAACCAGCATCGTCATCGACGTCATTCAAAAGCTACTGAGCGAGACAAAACATTTTTTTTTACAAAGTCAATTAACGAAGAGCACACAAAAACGTGACTACTTTTTATTAAACAAATATATACCAATATAAAAAAAATCCATAATCGTATGTACACAATCCGCGAAAATTCGCAATTCACCCTTTCTTTTGAACAGACCTCGCATGTATATACATTTGCAACGACATATTTGAACATAAATTTATCACGTGTGCTCTACTTACAATTCAGGACCACAGTTCTTTGGTCTCTCCATCCGATAGCCCGACTTTAGTAAATTCAGCAGACGATTTGTCGGTGTTGAGGGATACGGTGTGCTGCCGAGCGTCACAATTTCATAGAGCAGTATGCCATATGACCAACTGTTGAATGTTTCCGTTTTGTGGGCATAAGAAATTATCGACCGACACACACATATGTGTATGCGTATGAATATGCATAAAGGTCAGTTTTCGTTACGGCAACATTGTTTATTATATTTATTTTGTTGACATCCATTCACATAGGCAGGTATGTATACATGTGTGTGCAAAATGCATGAAAAATAGTTAAAATGAGAGAATTAAATTTATTAACAGGTGACGTGTCGATTTATGCAAATAAATCTTTACAAACTCTTTGACAAGCGAAAGACGTGGTGTATACAATTAAAGTTAATTGAATTTGTTCACACCCGCGAAGTTTTCAATTTTAAAAATTATTTAAGTATGTATAGAGATATTTTTAAGACAGAAGAAACTTAAATTGAAAAATAAAATAAAATAAAATAAAATAAAATAAAATTAAATGAAATAAAATAAAATAAAATAAAATAAAATAAAATAAAATAAAATAAAATATAATAATGTAAAATAAATAAATAGAATAAAATAAAATAAATGAATGAGTAAAATTAAAATAGAATATGAAAAAACAAAATAACATGAAATAAAATAAAGCAATTAAACTTAAATCAATTAAAATTAAAAAAAAAAACAAAAGAAAATACATTAAAACATATTAAAATAAAGTAAAATAAAATAAATTAAAAAAATAAAATATATTAAAAAACTGAAATAATTTAATATTAAATGAAATAAATTTAATTAATATGAAATAAAAATAAATTATTGAAATGAAAATAGCACCAAATAAAATGATATAAATTGATATAAAAAATAGATAAATAAAATAAAAGTAAAATCAATTAGAATGAAGCTGAAGAAAATAAAGTAGTGTAAAATAAATTATCATAAAAAATTAAAATAAAATAATAAATAAATGAAAACAAAACAAAATAAAAGTCATAAAATAAAAATAAAATCAATTCGAAATTAAGATAAAATAAATATGGAATGCCTTTGTAAGCAATCGTATTTGTTACTCAGATAGCCAGACGGTAACGGTAAATTACCGGCTCGTCAATTATTGTGAAAGGGTTTAAGCTCCTCCTCCTCAACTCCTCCATAATCTGGGATTCCGATCATAGGAACATTTTCAGTAACGAAAAAACTGATGAGTTTGCCTAGTCGGGAGCATGATTTAACGAATTTGAGGTGTTGTTAAATATCACGTCCATTAAGAACATTCAGGAGAGCTTCCTTGGCAATTTCAATACTTATCTCAAAACAATTAGTCCATGTCCAACTTGAAGATACCGAGATAGATTTGTGAGTACCAAAAACAAAGACATTTTCTGAAACACAAATCTAGGTCTTTTATATAACAGGCATCACGCAGTTGCGAATTTTCATTGAGAACCCTAAATTGTTTGAACGAAACGAGATGCGATAGTTGAGAACTAGTATCATACCATTCAGCATCGTACTAACCAAAAACAAGCAGAATTCCTCTAACGGCAAACTAGTATTTTTTTGTCCTTCAAATACTAGTATAATTCTGACTTATAACATGACTTCGTCTTCTAGTATTTACCTAAAATTTTTGCATACTAGTCTACCTATTCCCTGCAGGGTTGCTATGAGCTGCAGATACATACATACAAAGAATTATGAATTGCTCTGCGTGCCATAATGATTTTCAAATTCAATTTCAAAGGTACATAGATACGAGTACATAGTATATACTCGTATACATATTTATATTCCAATATAAGTTCATTTGAGCCTACTTTACCTTTAACGCGGCTTTTCAGCCACAATTAAGTGGTTGAGTACAGCAACTGTATTATATTTCCCGCGTCAAGTTTACATTGTTATACTACTTGATACTTAACAGCTCTACTTTTTGGCACTCACTTCAATTAACACACACACACGCACACACGCATGTTTTGAGAAAAGTTTCTGGACTGTTGGCTGGTTGGCCGGTATTGGTATGCGTGTTTAAAGCCTCAATTATAACCGTAGCCTATGTATATATATATTTTGAAACTTTACAGGTGTAATGTTGTTGTTGTATAAAATGCACAAACACATTCTACGGTTAAGTGTGTGCTAGTAATTAAATATCTGCAAACAATTTTTTCCTTAAGCCATACAGAAAATATTGAATAAAAATATTCACTCATCTTCTTGTATATTTTTTTTGTTGTCACCTGAGCAGTAATTGAATGGATAAATATTAAATGCGAATCAAATTGAATGTTTACACCAAGTGCAAAGCTTTTGGCCTTGGAATACCAGCGTATGGAATTTTTTGTTTATTTTGCTTTTAAATATTTAATTGCGGTCTCTTCTACGTAAGGAATATGAAGGAGATTCATTGTCATATTTTTTTTCTTTTTTTAATCCTAGAATCAATAGCAATAGCTATGCATGTCGATCAAATATACGAGTGGATTAACGAAGGTTGGTTCGTTCCGTTGGTGAATTTCTATTTGGTTTAGTCTTCCTTTCAAATTTTAGAATGATCGGATAAAATAAAGACGAGAAAACACAAGAGAGCTGAGGATAGGTCAGACGAAGTTCCACCAATAACGCACCCATAAATTCACCATGAGATTCTCTTCGGGTTTCGGCGTAATTTACAGCCAATACAGATATTCAGTGTATGCCAATTGCTTATGGAACGATTGTACCGTCTTTAAAGACTATTTCTAAGTGATTTTGAAGATTCCAGAGCGGACATTTTTCCGTAGAGAACGAGCCCCGAGAAGGTCAACCAAATTCTTCAACTGATGACGTCACTGTAGCTCTGGTCAAGTTCAAAATTGACAAAGTCCACGATTGAGAGAAGAAATGATTGCTAATAAATTGGTCTTGAATGCCATGTGAAAAGAAATCTGCTTGATGGGTACCACGAATTGAAAAGGTCAGCCTAGTAACTTTAGTAAAGTCGTTACTGGCGACGAATTTTGGTTCTATACGTACAATTCAGAAACCAAACAGCAGTTCATGGTATGGAACTCAACAGGACCAAACTCATCCGTAAAATCTAAGCTACAAAAAATCAGTAGCAAAAGTAGTGATGCCAGCAAATCAAGGATAATTGGCCGAAATACGCTTGGAAGAGTTCACGAGGTACGTATATATAATTGGCGCTTTGTAACTGCGGAAGCAAATTTCGGCCGAGCTCGTCCTCCAATTTGTGGTTTTGCGTCTTGATGTTTCTCCAACAAATGGAGGGACCCACAATTTGTACTAAACGGGGTCTAAACGGCTGATGGGTTTTTATGAGGAGCTTTATTTCATGACAGAAATACAATAAAAAAAAGTTAACTCTTCTAATGACGGTCGCTCCTCGACAGAGAGTGTCCAGTTTTCCGAGTGTTTTTCTGCTATAATCGCCAATACTGTAAAGTATTTTTCATATGAAATAGAAGTCCCGCGTAAAAATCCATCTGCCGTTCGGGAGTGACTTTGTATAAACAGTAGGTCCTTAAGGCATGAAATTATCTTTTTTATCTTGAAAAGATTATCGCCATAACTTTTTAGAGCAGATTCACAATATATGCATCGTCTTTATAGAGCGAAATTTGAAGTTTTATTGTGTTTGACAAGTAATTGTTTTTAAGAAAATCTATTGAAATATAAAATATTAATCTTAAAAAAAGACTCTGAGATGCCAATGAAATCTTCCAACAGTTTTGTCTTTCTTTGGGTGCTATATGAATTTACGCAAAAAATATGCTTGACTGAATTGTGCCCATTATAAGCTACAACAACTTGGTACATCTAACAACATGCTCTTTAAAATAAGCGCCCGGTATTGATCAAAATAAAAAGTGTTGTGTTTCATTATGAAAACATCAGAGAAATAACTCATTGATGGCTAGGTAAAAATTTATGAAGCTCGGTTTAGAAGTTTTGGTGAACCCATTATATAGCACGGATTTGAAAACCAAATAAGTTTCAAGCTGGTAATACTCATAGATAATATTAATTTTAATGAAACTTTGTTCAATAATATGCAGACGTGCATATACTACATATATGTACAAAGAAAACATAGTCTCATTTAATTATCAATATTTTGCGACTACCGTAATTAGTGACCCATTTTTGAAGCTGTAAGTTTGTATATACTTTTGTTAGATCTGGCCAATAGGTATTATTCAGTGTTATTCATTGAAATCGTAAGCGAAGCTTTATCCTGAATGTTTTATACAGACGTGGCATTAACTTGGGTTTAGATTTTTTTCGATTTGGCCAACCAGTTGTCTTTCAACATTTGTTGCATAAAATGTTCCCACGATCCTTTCTCGAAGAGGCTAGAATTAAATTAGAATTAATTTACGGAATAGCAGAAGCATCTTTTATTGAATTTTGGTGTCACCTTAAACAATTTTGATAGATTTATATGAAAATGTCGGTGGAAAAACTATATGCAACGATATTTTTAGCTCATATACCATGCAGCTTGATTAAGAGAGAAAGGAGTTAATTTAAGTAACCACAGCCGGGAGAGCAGGTGAGAATAAAGCTGCGATATTTTCTTAAGAGGAAAAAATAATTTTGTGCTGTAGATGCAATAAGAAATGTGATACCATATATATGTGGTAGAGCGCATGTATAGTATATACGTTATCGAAAACATTCAAAAAGATGCGAGGCATATAAGAGTGGCAGCTAACACCACAGCGGAGTATAGAGCTCGGCAGTGTCATTAAGTGAGAGTTAGTAGTAGTGTGTTTAGGAAAAAGCAACTGAACAACAAATATATGTCTTTTTTCAACTATCCAGTCAACGAACTCGACGGTTTTGAGAAGTCATCCAGGCTTATTTTCGAAAAATTGTTACAATATTGTTGTGAAAATGGCAAATATGTATTTTCTAGAGCACATGATGATCCTACTGATCGTTATCGCGAATATTTCATAAAGAATTTTCGAAATCTTAACTAACACAAAATATTCTGTAATGAACTGAAATATTCTAGCTTTCAAAGTAATTGCAGCTTCTATCAAAACAAAAATAAATTTTACATGCAAATTTATTTAAGACGAAGCGTACTGAGTCGTACATTGTCATATATCGTATGTAGATATATGTATTTATAATTTGCCACCGTAATAAATACAAATTAACTTGCTTGTGCAATAAAACTGTTGCACAACCCCAGTGAAATATTGTTGTTTTAAGGAGATATTGAGATATTTAATTTCTCAGCAAACGTACTCGTTTTTATTTAAACGGGGCAACTTCAATTAATGACCTGACAGTGACACCATCAATGCTAACTACATATAGATACAACCTTACATTGCAGCAGCGACCAAATAACATTAAACAAAATTCCCCGGTATAATTACTAGTTTTCAAATAAATTTTGTGCTTTTGGAATGTTGAGTAATTAAATAACTGGCAGCGTGTCATTGGAAATTACAAATACAATTTAATTTGCTACGTTGGTGTTTGTGGGTTTTGTAATAAAAATGATTTGTGAGCAGCGGCCAAACATTGAGTTATTTTATCTGCAAGCATTTCAATTATATTATATGTATATATATATAATACAGGGTGCTCCATCTTCTATGTCTGTAAGCATATATATATCTCTATATAAAAAAATAAAAAATATATATATATTTATATTTATATATATTATTGGTGCTTTGTAACCACTGAAGGGATTTTCGGCCGAACTTCTCTTCCAAATTGTGTTTTGCATCTTCATGTTTTCCAACTAATAAAAGAACCTACTTCTGTAGTATTGTAAGTAAGGGTGTAGCCGAAAACCCGAATGTGTCTATTTTCAATGTTCCCAAGAACATGCTCTTACGGCAAATTATAACGCAAAGTCCAGGTAATACAACATCTTCAGCCAGCTGACCATTCACAACGCCGTACATATGTCAATTGGGTGTGCTTGAACAACAACCAGTGGGCGTTGATATTTCGAAAAAAATATTCTTCAGCGACAAGACACATTTCTAAATCAAGGAATTAGAAAAATAGTCGCATTTTGAGGCCGCGGCTATTACACCCCAGCAAACTTACTGCGCGGTACGCTCTTTGGTCCGGAGGTGTGATTCTTTCATCACCTTAATGGCGAGACCGTCATTGTCCATTTGGAGCATTATGATCGTCTGCCAACGGACTTTTCTTGGCCTGAAATTGAAGATCAAGACTTGGAAAATATGTAGTTTCAACGAGTTGGTGCCAAATGCTATATAAATCGAGCGCACATGGCTTTATTGCGAGAGAAAACTCCTTGCCGCGACGTCGCAAACCTTTTACTCTTGAATACTTGAAAACCAGCACTCCTCAAGTTATAGTTGAGATACCGCCTAATATGTGTCAATTATTGATCGAAAATTTTTTCAAACGGATCGATGTTTGCCACAATTCGGGAGGCGGTCATTTGATGGACCCAAGGCTCAAAGTATATATTGGGTCAAGTAAAAAGTCCGTTCTGCGCTTATTTAAGAGATGGCGTTATTATCCATAGTACTAGAGTTACATGTCACATCATGTCATTCTATACAGCGCTGAAAACGTGTTTATTCGCACTAAAAGTTTGTCTTTGACACCAGGTTATGCTGTGTGTTTGGTGGGATTGGTAAGGAATCATCTACTACGCGCTGCTCCTCTATAGCCAAACGCTCTATTCGGCCCTCTAATGCCAACAACTAGATCGCTTGAAGTCAGCAGTCATCCAGAAGAGACCATCTTTGATCAACAGAGATCGAGTTGCGTTCCATCAGGACAATGCCAGGCCACACACGTCTTTGGTGAAGCGCCAGAAGCTCCAAGAGCACGGATGGGAGGTCCTAATGCACCCACCAGTCCAGACCTGGTACCAAGTTATTACCATATTTTCCTGTCCATGACGAACGCGCTTAATGGTGAGAAGTTGACCTCAAGAGAGGCCGGTGAGAGAAGGGTATAATGAAGTTGGCATCTCGTTGGCGACAAGTTCACAAACAAAACGGCGCATATTTGACTTAAATCGGACAAATGTACACAAAGTTCAAATTTTGGGAAAAAATCAATAAAAAACCGAAGGAACTTAACCGAAGATTTAAGCAGAATTTCATGAGAAGAGTTAACTTAAAAGCATTTTATTTGCGTTTATTTTCGAAAGCGCATAATCGATAATAATTTATCAAAATCAAAACTTTTCCATATTTTCGTTTTACAAATTCTGTGTGCGTGTGTGTGTGTTTTTTTTGTGTATATGTTATTCCAGAAGTTTTATGTATTGCAGCCTTGTATGACATCTTTCCATTTAAAAAAAAATACTTATACGAATTCTCTAATCAGAAAAGTAGAAAAATGTTGAAATACTTACACATCACTCTGCGTAGTGTACACCTGATGAGTCATCGATTCCAAGGCCAACCATTTTATAGGCAATTTCCCGTTGCCGGTCTTTTTATAAATATTTTCCTGGTAAACATCACGGCTTAACCTGTAATTTTTTTATGTTTGTTATTATTATTGTTGTTGTTGGTTTTGTAATTATATACAGCAGCAAATAATCAAAGGACCACCAATGTGAATGTCAACCATAAAAATGTTGACGAAAATAATTATATATAATAATAATAAAGTAAAAATGAAAGTTCAAAGATAATAAATTGAGTTAAATTTACATTGCGTGGGATGAGAAGACAAACTGAAAAGAAAGCAACGAGAGAGGCAAGACAGATGTTCGTGGGAATATTAAAAGCTTGTATCTATATAGATGTTCAAATTGCTCATTGTGTTGAGATTGAGCCGGAAATGCTGTGTTGAGAAAATTAATACTATTAACAATCAACAGTTGAAGACATTAAAATGAAAAGAAAGTGGTTAGGAACTTCACAAGAAATTCGGTTTATAAAAGTCAAAATAAATAAAAAATAAAATAGCGATAATTCAGATGTACATACATAGGTGAATGCCGTAAATGTCGTTAATAAGGGCTTAAATGATGGAAAATTGTTATTAATAAATGGTTTAAAAGAAACTATTTTTTTAAATATTTTTGCACAACTATTAAAAAAGGAGTGTTCTGCATTATCATTGTAGAATGAAAGAAATTTTTTAAGCTTAACTTCTGTCAATGCGTGTAACTCTGGACAGCATCCTTAATACTCGCAAACACATCGATTTTGGTTATTGTTTTCATTACAGTTTATTAAACTGATATTATTTTCGATAATTTTGTGTTGAACTATTTCGATTTGATAAAAAGGCTTTTTCTATTATGAGGTCTTGGAAAAGGAGTAGGAATTTTTTTTACAGATTTATGAAGTATCAGCACCGATTCAAAAAGAATTCCGGTCTCTACAAACCTCCCGAAAAGAAACAACTTCTTAACGACTCAAGATGTGCATTAATCGATATGTCACGTTAAGAAAAGTGTATTCGGAAAGGGCGAACGGAAGTTGAGATGGGAGAAAATTTTATTTTTCTCAAATTTTTATTTTTAGGTACAGCTCTGTGTATAGAGAAAAGGAAATTCAAAATAAATATTTCTTTTACGAATTCATAAATGGTTGGTAAGGAGAGAAAGAAAGAGAGAGAGTGAGAGAGAGAGAGAGTGAAAGAGAGTGAAAGAGAGTGAGAGAGAGTGAGAGAGTGAGAGAGAGTGAGAGAGTGAGAGAGAGAGAGAAAGAGTGAGAGAGAGTGAGTGAGAGATAGAGTGAGAGAGAGTGAGTGAGAGAGAGAGAGAGTGTGAGAGAGATAATGAAAGAGAGAGAGTGAGAGAGAGAGACGTTGGTATATCTAGTACACATTCCAGGTTAATTTATTTAGCTACAGTCGGGTAGGCTTTCAAGAGTTAGCAAGTTGGAGATGTTTCAGAAAGGCTTAATTAAAAACAATTTCCATTTCAAAAAAAGTTTTAAAATGTGTGGCAACTCTTTTGCAAATTATAATGTAGGTGGCTCAAGAACTTTGCAGGAAAACTTTTGTTTGAATCATGTTTGCGATCAAGTAGAAGGACGGTAAATCAAAATCCCAAAAGTTTAAAAAACGCGACCAATTGCATAAAAAATCGTTTTAGGATATGGAGATATTCGTAGAAGTGTTCAAGCATTCTGGAATATATTGATATTGTTAAAAATATATTTAAGACACATATTTACTTAAAAAATAAACAAAACTAAGAAAAGTAAACAAATGGTTGAAATGTCAATATAAAATTTCAAGATTCTTGTTCTTTTTTCAAGCATAAGAAAAAATACTCAACTGATGTAGTTTTTTCCAAATATATTTTATATTTTCATCATGAGCTTATGGTTTCTATCTAAAAATCTGTTAATAATTATAATACATATGTATATAGGGAAAGAAGTTATGCTTTTACTGTGTTGTCCCCAACTGTTTTTCTTCTTCTTAATATAAAGTATTTTTAATCAAAAGATTTTAGATCCTGTGAGCTACTTACCCAAAATCTGCAATTTTAATTGTGCGATCTGTTGCAACAAGCACATTTCGCGCAGCTAAGTCACGGTGAACGACTTTATTTTTCGCCAAGTATTCCTGAAAGCATAAAAATAATAAAAACATGAATTAAAATTTTGAAATTTTTAGAGATATCAAATAAGAAAATAATTATTATTTTTAGCAATCCAGGGGTTTCTTAACCTCTTTCGGTGGCATTTAGGGCAATTTGATTATTTTGAGAATGTAAACAAATTTAATGTCTAAGATTTGTTTCAGAAACTGAAAACGCTCATTTAGGAATCAATGTGGCGGAGAAAATGCAACACCTGTAGGTAGCAAACCCGTAATACCAGCCAATGATTATAAAAAGACATTTTATCACTGGACTATGATGAGATTTGAATAGCCATTGCCTGCCTAAAGAACGCAAAAGTGGTTAGAGCCGAACTAATTAAATATGGCGGTGGCTGCATCAGCTGGTCGGACGATGGGACTTAAGTCACTTTCTAAAACTCCCTTCCAGTGAATGGCATACTCGGTGTTAAATCACCATCCATAGCAGACAAAGTGCTGGAGCTGCCTCGAGAGACCCGGCGTAATGCTGGCGTAACTAAGGTCTGGATACTGCAGCAGTTTAAGCTTCTATTTATCCAGACTCGACCCTAACATACCCAACATATGTCCTACATGTTGGGAGTCTCCGCACCACACTATCCACCTCTTTACATGCCGCCTCAAACCAACGCATCTAACCTCCTCTCCCTTTGGTCTAAACCCATCGAAACTGATCGTTTTCTGGACCTCCCGTTAAATGACCTCGATGGCATAGATTAACTAGCCAGCCCCTAATAAAAATGACACTTAATTGTGCTTTGGTTGTTGTTTTCATCTGATTCATTTATAATATACGATTCTTTTTCGAGTTACTAATATTAGAACTTTTTTATTTGGGATTTATGCAAACTCTCCATACACACCAAAATGTTGCTCATACGCCCCATAGGTCTGTCATAGCTTTATACGCCTAAACACAGAGGTTTAATGAAAACAAACCACGCGAAAGAATTCATAACGATGAATTGGTATAAGGAAAAATAACTATCATGAAGATGATTTGTTTTTGTAAACATATTATTTGAAGAAAAAAACACCAAATAACTATAGAGGAAAACGTTTTTTAGGCGCTTATAAAGCACCAATTATCATTTTTTTTTAATTTTTCAAATCTTACCAATTTACATTACATATAAGAATTTAGTACTTTTCCTGTTTCTCATATTTTTTTCGTATTTAAATCAAAACTCAATTTCAATCAAAAGACCCGTCAAAGAAATTTATTAGGATTAGTGAGTTAAGTAGATTCCTTACTTCTTCTTAAAGAACACCATATTTTTATTTAGAGAGAATTATAAGGAATGCACGAAATATGTATTTAATAAGCTTTCGCAAATCACATAGCTGTGTATATCTGTATGTAGAATATTTTGAAATTGGAATTTCATTTCGTAATTGCTTCTACTGTAATATAAATATTTGTAAAATGACTTAATGAAAGATTTTTTAGAAATCAATTTAAGTAATCAGGATTTTTCGTTCAATTCTTCAAATCGAATAGGAAAAATATTAAGCAGTACTATTGGTTATAGCCTCTTAGTTAATCTCCTTATAAACAGAAAGAAAAATTTAAATTAAAGCTAATCGATAAACTGAATATATATTTTGCAGGGGGACGGTAGATTAGTAACGATAGTGATAATTATTCCCACACCACGGCTGAGTTTCATTCCCAGTAACGCTCTGTTAAAATGCGCAAAATATCTTTGATAGATTCAGCATCGCAATAGTTAGAGGTGATCACTGTAGTGCTTGAGGTTCACAGTTTGAATATCGCTGAGGACAAACCAATTTATTTTATTCTATTCTTCTCTATAAACAATTCTACAAAAAAAAAAAAGTTCTCGCAAAAACCCCTCTTTGAAAAGACTACAGGTCTGTAAAAACTAAGATGAGAAAGAAACGACCACCCATCTTCTAAGCGACTATCCTGCTTTCTTTTTGAAAGTTTCGACAGCGACAAAGCTGACACTAAGACAAATGATCTAATAGAATTAATCAAATTATGGAAGCAATTGGTAGAGAAATCTCGTCTGCAAAGAGATGAGATGTGTTTGGTTGTACTCAGTTCTCTGTACAATGTTGATAATATAATATTGAAATCTTCGACCAAACACTGATCAAACAGATGACATCGGCACATTATTTTGGTTTTGAGAAGTCCATGTAGAGTACTGTTATTTGCAGTACTGAATTTCAAAAGCATAGTTTTCTTAAGGGTGAGGAAATAAGTATTTCATTTAGTCTTTCAAAACCCCATCAAAAGCAGCGATCTATTGTCGGTATGTAAAATTTTTCATGAAAACTTAACCTAGAAAACTATACAGAAACAAGTTCGGGATAAGGTCTTCGTGAAAAATGTTGGGTTAACAAAATTACCGCGTAAATAATTTCTAATCAATAAAGTTAAGAAGAAAGGGCCAGTGGTGCCCTCTGCGCATGTAAAAAGATGTTAAGCACGACTGGACCTCTTGTCGTATGGCATAAAGCATTGGTGTTTCACTGTTATAATGGACAGCTGCCACTAAAGTCTCTTACAAGAACCACTCTAGCGGCTGCGTTAGAAAGGCTACTCAACCTACCACTAATCGACCTGACAGCGAAAAGCTTTGCAGTAAAGTCAGCTGTAAGATTGAATGCATTGGTTGAATTTTCTACAAGAACCTTCGTGCATTGCAATATACTAACATGCTTCGTTTAGGAAGGAAGGATGAAACTACATAAAAAATAGAAAGTGAAGCGGTTGTAAAGGCAAAAACCGTACATCGTATTGCATAAGAATGCGTCCATAAAAGCACGGAGCCGCTAGATGTAGTGGCAGCAAGAAAGCGGTTGCATATATACAATATATACTGTGTTTCTAGCCAAAGGGACATTTCGGGAAACGAAATAGTTGATGAGATCCCCAAAAATGCCACTCGTTTTGTAGTTGTTGGCCTACTCGCGAAGCAACCCTGCTGCCATCCCATGAAAGTAGATTGGGAATTTGTAATAGTGCTGTTTGTGGGAAATACAGAGAGGAAGGCCCTGGCTAGAAGACTAGCTCTAGATATTTAGAAGCTTCGCGGTTAAAAGAACTAGATAAAACATCAAAATTAGATATCAAGATTCTCAAGAACTTCAAAACAGCGTTGACGTGCTACGATAACTTCTTCTTGAGCTGAATTAAATCCCCCTTCCGCATAGCAAAAGTCCAGCTGGTCTATGTATTCAGCGACAGCCTAAACTAACCTTTAAATTATTTTTCATAAAAACACAATACAATATGGTAAGACCTCAACATAACTGATTTTACTAAAGTGGTACAACTACCTACCCATGACAGAGGACAAAAACAATAAAATTTATTTTTAACTACAAAAATTCGTCAACTTAATTTGGTGAAAGGAAAATCTTTAAAGTGTTTTCCCTTACTCGCGGATTTCTAGTGGCGAATAATAAAAAATCTACAGACTTCCTTCTCTTTAAATTATGCCAACAAAGAAATGTACTCGAGCATGCATTCCAAGTGTGCACACAATCGCGTTTCGCTTCATCTAACACATTGAAATCGTATTCGAAAATATTTCTGCAAATTTCTCCTTGCATTGCGTATGCGAAAGATTTATTGCTTCACATGCAATTATATAATGACGTTGGCTTATAATCAAAATACACGTATGTATAAAATTTAACATATTTTCAAATCGATTTGTGTTTATGAACATACATATATTAGAGGGTTACTCATTTTTCATAATCAATTATGCAGTATGAATTTAATTATAAATATATTTATGTTGTTTCATAATCAACAATCCGAGTGGATTAACAAAGGTCCAGTCACTTCTGACTTCCAATTTGTAAATTACAAACAATACAACTATTCAGTGAATACCAAATTTCATATTGGTACGATTGCACCGTCTTTAAAGACTATTTCTAAGAGGTTTCAAGGATTCCAGACTGGTAATTTTTCGTAGAGGACGAGCGACGAGAAGGTCAAATCCAAAATTGACGAAGACCCACGATTAACACAACAAATGATTGCTAATGAATTGGGCTTGACCGCCATGGCTGTACTGCGAATATTAAACTTTCCCGATAAACGATGAAATCTGCTCGATGGGTACCACGTATTTTAAATGAGGTCCGAAAATTGGCTCAAGTGCATTTTGCTCAATTTTTTTCAAACAAATTCGAAAATGGTCAGTCGAGCAACTTTAGTAAAGTCGTTGCTGGTGACGAATCTTAATTCTTTGAATATGATCTAGAAACCAAATAGCAGTCTATGGTAAGGAGCAAGCCCAACTATAAAACCTAAGTAAACAAAATCAGCAGCAAAAGTAATGAGGTCAGTTGGGAAACAGAAAAGTGTTTACCAAGGGTATCAAAAATTGGTTGGAAAACAGGAAGAAAGAGGATTTGCGGCGTTACTTTACAACGCGCTATCTCACATTGCTGAAGTGACGAGTAATTTTATTGCGATCTCTAGGATCGAAGAAATACGTACAACACCATATTTGGATATTTCCAAAAATAAAAAAAATTAAATAGCAACGAGGAGGTTGTTAATGTGGTTAATGCTGAACTTGATAGGCTTTAAAATCAACATTTTGCAGACTGTTTTCAGAAATGGATCTTTAGTGTTTAGAAATGGATCGAAATCATGCAGAGGAAATAAAAACGGACAAAGGTTATGAATAAATACGAAGATAATTTTTTTTTCTGGGCAACTTACCGAACTTTTGTTAATCCCTTCGAAAATTGCTAAAAATGTTCTAAGAATTCTCACATTTCGCTTCATAAGGAATTTTGCATAACCACATACTTAGAATGCACTTCATTTTCTTCAAATGTGTTTGGTGTTGCAGGAGTATGCACATAATTATGTAGAAATTTCGTATTGAACATATATATTCGTAAGTGTGTTTCATTGTTGTGTAGCATTTGCAAACTCATATACATATTTACATTCATACATGACTTCAAATTAAGGTTTTTCCTTGTTTACGCTAACAAGAACATAAATAAATATAAAAATGCAGCAGAGGTAGATGTGATAAATAAGATTTGTACTCGCGTCCTAATGACTAATGTATTTTAAAGACAATTTATAAGAGTAGCTCTTGTAGTGGGACACCAATAAAAAACAAGAAAGAAGAGCTGTGTTTCTATACATAAAATATTTATAATATATAATTAGCGCTTTCTAGCCGCTGAAGCGATTTTCGGCCGAGCTCCTCCTCAATCGGCGGTTTGCGTCCTACAGCTGCCTACGAACGGTCGAGAAACTAGTTTTCTATAATTTTGGATGTTTGGTCGCACCAGGGCTTGAGCTTTGACCTTCCAAATGTTAGTGCACAACCCTAGCAACTCGGCTATTGTGGCCTGTATAGAATATAGAATATTCATTCTCATATCTGAAAATTTGATTGGAGGGGCCTAAATCTTATGGTCTACCGATTTCGATGACGAAGTTATAATGAAAGCCTTATAAACTTTTGAAATGCAGAGTTGGCAAAGCCGAATTTTCAATTAACATATGTATGTAGTTTCGAGAAAATAGAGGCGGCTAAAATTGGCTTTAATTGAGTCGAAACCGAGACAACAATTTCTAGTTGATGGAGAACGTCGTGATAGCATATTGCTATTCGGAAGGCGAAAGTTTCAAGTCCTGCTCTAATCAAAAAATTAATTAAAATTTTTATTGATAAAAAATTCCGTTAATTTTTCTAATTACGGTGTAGCAGAATCCATTTGTAGAGAAAACATAAAGACGGCTACCACAAATCGAAAGAAGAGCTCGGCAAAAAGTCACTAAAGCGGGCACAGAGTGCCGATTACATATACAATATAATAATAATAATGATAATAAAGTAAAAATGAACAATATATTTCAAAATCGTTCCATAACTCTGCCATCCCATTCAAAGTGCACCCCTTACGCAGCTAAGCAACGATTCCAGTGCGATAGCCATGTTTCGTAACATTTCATGAACGCTTCGACTGGGATGTATGCGAGTACCCTTGACACGGCTGCTTGGACGTCCTCAATTGACTCAAAATGGGTTCCTTTGACCATCAATTTTTTTCCAAGGAACAAACATGTCACAGGATGATATATGGGACGAATAAAGCGGTTGTTGCAATACGGCAATCCCTTTAGAGGCCAAATACTGGGACACGCTGGGGCGGTGTTGCACGGCGCGTTATCGTGATAAGGGATTCAATTACGAGCGCTATCTGGGCGCACCCTTTCGACTCGTTTTCGCAACCTTTCCAGTACTTGACGATAATAGACTTTCCCCATGCACTATTACAATTTTAGCGTACGTTTCCGAAGCTGTTCCGCCAAATTTGACGCAAAATTTATCGCGACGCGTTGCTCTTGATTTCGTTTTTCCATTTTCGTGACGAGCACCACGAACGCACGTTTACTCAACACGACATAGCAGGCGAATATGCAAGCTAGAGCGATGGAAAATATATCAATCGAGAGGAGAAGGATGCCGGGAGAAGGGAAAGCGAATTTCAAGGTCGCAGGATTACCACAATCGCGACAATATAAACAGTCGCATCACTTAATTGTCACAACTCGTATGTACGAGTAAATTCGTGACCAAAGCTGAACTTCGTAGACAAGTTTGAGCACTGCTTGCTAACTAAAAGACAAAATTGCACTCAAACACGGCGTCAGTCAGAAGTTGACTTCAAACATTTTCGCTTGTAAGTTTTTTCAAAATGACAATGTCGATATTTTTTAAAATTTATTTATTTTAATTTATTATATTTTTCCTGTTTTCTAATGGAAGTCAAAGTAAATCTGCGGATTTAAGTCCGAAAATATTTACAAATCCCTGTGAAATGCCAATTGAGACGGAAACAAGTACGTAGCAATTAAATAGATATAACAGTAAAAAAAAAAAACAATTTAATCTCTATAGTACTTACCATGCCGACCGCAACCTGTCGCGCTATATCCAACAGATCAGCTGTGGTCAGCGGTTGCCGGTGCAGGCAGGAGCTTAACGCCTCATTGTCTCCGGTCTTGTCTGCCTGACTTATAATGCTAGCTGCCGTTGTTGTTGGCGTTGGTGTTGGTGTTGGCGTTGTTGTTGTTGTCGTTGTCGTTGTGCTACTTTCGATATGTACCCCCGTGAACGCCAGCCTCCTGTTACAAAAAGCAGCACGGGCATGCCGGCGTTCCCATTGACGACGTCGCCACGCCGCTTCGCTTAGTATTTCGTGAAAAAGTTTAAAATAGGATTTATTTTCAATGGCACCAGCCGATTTTGGTCCCGCAACACTGCCAAATGCTTGCTGCTCTAGTGGTTGTTCTTGTTGTTGTTGTTGTTGTTGATGATGATGTTGTTGTTGCGTCACTACTGTTTGATTAGCATTTAATAATTTTTGCTGACACACGCAATTTTTCGAATGAAATTCATGTATTTGTTTTTGCTTTTCGCAGCCAATTTGTTGCATTGTGGTGTGGTCACCATTAACACCTACACCCACATCCACACCGTTAAGCGATGTGGCGTGTTTTTTTCCAACGGAATCTACATTCATATGGTATTTGCATGCCCGACAGCAGATATCCTCATAGCCGTAGGATTTGTTGTCTGCAGCCCAGTAGCTGGTTGGTGATTGTAGTGGTGTGGGCGGTGGTGGCGGTGCGCTGTCGTTGATTGTTGTTATCGACGTCATGGTGGTGGTTGCGGATATATCATATGATGGCGGGTAAATTGATGTTGTTGGAGTCTGCTGTTGTTGTTGTTGCTGCTGCTGTTGCTGCAACGTGTTTAGATATTTATATCTGAATTTGAGGCTTTCGACAATGTTGCCATCGATGCTGGCGCCACTGTTACCCAGTACGCCACCAAAGCTGCCACTACCATTCTCCCTACTCTTATAGCCGTTGGGACGGTCAGTGCAATTGGAATTGGGGTGATCAATGCTGTTGCTGTTGCTATTGCCTTCGCTGCCGGTGCTCTGATGGTGAGTTTCAGTTAAATTGTGTGACACGCGCCGATGGCGCTTTTTGCCACTAGTTCGACTCAATCCACCGAATTTCCGTTTCAAAATGGAACCGCTAGTTTTAACGTTCAATTCATATAAATATTTCCATTCATCTCTGCAACGAAAAAGGAATCGTTCAAATTTACAAACTGCGCGAATGAATGGAATAATGTACTATCTACATTTGTACATATGTATATGTGTAAATGTGGAGAAAACAAAAATCAGTGAATACAGTCATACATATGTACTTGTACCAATGCATATGCAATGAAAAAGTATACATATGTACATATTGACACGCTGGCTACACGTGTCAAAACGAGATTGAAATCGATTGCTCATGTTTGGAGCATGGAAATATGAAAATACGAAGAACAAATACATCTGACCATAGGTCACTGACCTATTCTTGGGTTGGCATACATATCAATGACGCGGAGTTAGGTAAGATTACGTATACGGGGTCTTCCAATAAGAAGTTTTTGTTTGATATACAAAGAAAAAATAAATTTTTGAGATTAATGATGGAATGCTTATGTGATTAATAATAAAACAAAAAAAAACAATATAATGGAAATTGCCGGCACGGCTCCACATACACGACCATATCTTTTTAATGAAATTTTCCATTACCAAATCGCAAAGTGGCTGCTATATGCCCTCAATAACTTTAGATATTTCAATGAAATTCCGAATTATTTTCATGCATTTCTAGGACCCAATCAACAAAGGCATGACTTTTTGATGATCGGTCGCCTTAAGTTCTTGTGTAAACAGAATTTTATAAAACTCAAGACCCAAGTCTTTATGCAAAATGCGGTGTAACTAAGTGTGTGGAATGTCCGACTCCAAAGTACGACGAGGAATGTAAAAAATGACAGATTCAAAAGTGACATCCAGACTGTGTTTTTGTAAACCAACTCTTATTGGAAAACTCTTTACAGCAGCAAATTCCTTGAGGCCAATAAGTTCAACATCCCTTAGCTTAAAGGCCATGGAAAGGATGCCTGAAGTGGAGGTACTTACTACCCTTGCAAAGAGCTATACTAGGCCGGCAGCCCATTATTACACATTTGGTTATTATATTTTAATTTGTATGTTTGTAAATAATATCAAAATTTTTAACTAGCATTGCCTAAACTTCTATTACTTATAAGAGCTCATATGCTGAGCTTATGCCATATTCATATACGAGGGGATTAATAAAAGTATGGTTAAATTTATTTTTTTATGAAATCTAAAAATATCAAATCCCTTGCAAATACTTTAGTAGTCTTTAATTCAAATTTTAGAACGATCGGCTGAAATGAAGACGAGGAAATGCAAGATAGCTGAGGATAGGTCAGACGAAATTCCACCAATAACGCACACAGAAATTCACCATGAGATTCTTTTCGGGTTTCGTCGTAATTTACAGCCAATACAAAGTACAATCCAGAAACCAAACAGCAGCCCATGGTATGGAGCCCAGGCTGTAGGCAACAAAAATCAGCAGCAAAAGTAATGATTAGAACGACCAGCACCATATTCTCCGGGTTAATGTTGAACTAATTAAAGGATAAAGGCTATGAATAAATACGAAAAGAATTTTTTTGTTTCTTTCTTTTTTCCGTCAACTTACCGTACTTTTTTTGATCCCCTCGTATATATGTTTGTTATTGAAATTTGCAAATCGTGAGTACAAACAATTATGGTTTTGCTTTGCTACGATAAATACTACAAAAATATTTTTTTTTTTTGCTTTTTAAATAAGCCTTTTTAAAAAACGTAGATAATTGATTATTTATCAGGAATTTTAACGCTTGTTTATTTGTTTTTCTTTTTCTTTTTGTTTGTAAACATATGCTAAAATTTATTGAAGCATTTAAAATGATTTACATAAAATTAAAATAATTATCTATTCTATGGCAACTTTTAAATTTAATTAATGTATGTGCATAAATTTTATCATTTACAAATTGATATATGTGAAGCATTTGCCGATATAAAAAACAAATTTCATTTTTATTTCACACATAAAACGGTACTTTAATGGGACGGTAAAACAAATTGGCATATGTTTGACAAGCATATTTTATTCATAAAAAATCTTAGTATATTTTGTTTAATGACTGTGAGCCCAAAAAGTAACAGGAGTAAATTACATTTTCATTTAAAAGCGAATACAAAGAGTGATGCATCAAAAAAATAACATCAGCATGTCCTTAAGATTTACTCAGTAATTAAAATCTGCAAAATTCCATTTTGCTTCAAGCGGTTCTTGGTGAACTATAATCTTGATGCATCAGGAATCATTTATTGCTCTGGTAAACACTGTAACATGTGTGAGACTTCTAATAGGTTGCGCTAAGCAACAATGCAGGCATTTGATATTTGTAACTCCAATTATTTAGACGGAAACAAAGGATCGTGTAAGCGACTGTTATTTTTTTTTTAACTCAAACAAAAAATATGACAACCAAATCGAAACACATTATCCACTATCCAAACTTGTATTCGACCAAAGCCTCCAAAACGATCAGAAAGGCCGGATTCTAGTGGCAGCGTTTTCCTGGCTACGGTTTCTCATGATAGAGACCAAAGTTATGAGGAAAAGAAAACCCAAATATTTACGAAAATCATAAGAATTTATTGTAAGTTAAGCAATACAATTTTTCTGAGGGTATATTTCTTTAATTTTTACTACTTGTACTTGACTTGATACCACAATAAAATCTGAAGCGATTATTTTTTCAAAAAGTTTTAGTTTTGTTGGCCCAAAAGTTTCATCATTTCAAAATCTTATGAAATGTTAGCTTTTATTTGCCATACCAGTTTTTTTCAGATTTTTTAAATTTCTTTCGTAAGAACGAGTACCAACTATGCTTATTTCATCACCAGAAAGTGCAATTCTTCATAACGTCATAGGACGAATCCACAAAATGTTCATCATATTTGCCCTATCAACTCCTTCGTATTGAATGCAGTGTCTGCTCTTGGGTATTGGCTCTCAGATTAGTAAAGACTTCTTTCGCGCCTCCATTTTCGTGTCCAATTTGGTACTGGATCAGTCGATTCTTTTAACTTCGCAGACATTTCAATATGTCTCTAATCGAAGTCGTGTAACCACAACCCTCAGATAGTGAGTTCAATTCACAGAAATAAATATCCAAGATGGAATTAACATGATTCTGTTTTAAATTTGTACACATATAAAACTATGTACACAGAAAAAAGTTGGTTGAATGTAGATTTTCTGCTCAGTTTATGAAAAAATTAGTATTTACATGAAGTCGCTCGTCAGGTTGTATTGACTAAATGTCCATTCAGAAAATATTGTAATTATTAATTAAATTTAATTTCACTAACTACTGTGCAGCCACATTTTGGCTCATCAACTGTTGTGAGCTATGCAGCACCTAGCCCGAAACAAAGCCACTCAGCTATCCCAACTTCTCCTATGACGGCGACATGTAAATGAAAAGTTACTATCGCTTGCCAATGCCATTACTGGCGATTGTTATGAAAAAAGTTTAAATAAAATAAGAAAAATAACATTATTTTCAAAAGAAATTAAAATTGAATTCGTAATTTCTTATTTATTAACATATGGATCATATGAATTGGGTTGGGGTCATTTTCGAATTTTTGTAGTTTCAAAAAACAAAAACAAAAAAAAGTGGTCGAAACGATATCAAATTATTAATGTTGATACCGCAAAAACTCGTCGTGAAAGTTAATATTGAAATGGCTGCTTGCTACGAAACTAACAGCAGCATCAATTTTAACATTTAACATTCTCTGTTAACGTCTTAACATTAACGACAGTTTCTCGCTTCGGGTAAAATCCAAATAGAATTCATTTTGATATCTGCTTTAACGATAGCAATTCCAAATGTTTTAACCGAATAGATTGATATTGTTGGATTAACGTGCAATTTCAATAAGGTTGGTGCTTTTCAAAGTTTCTCTTACTGAGGAGCTTAAATGCGTAGGCATTCTTGAAAAGCATGTCAAAGTCAGTCTCACTAATTTCGAATGGTAGAAGCTCCAGAGCTACAATTCTTGTTTTAATCTCAGTTTCTTGATATATCAAAGAAGAGCTACTTCTGAACATTTGCTATATTCTCAGTAAATCTGCAATGATTTCCAATATCTTGCTAAACGTTCATTGTGGTATCTGGGTCAATTAATTTTTCTATATTATGCATTATATATTTGAAAGAATCAAAGCTTACTAGAGGATCACAAATAAGAGGATTTACACATCAAAGAAATTATGGTTTCTCGGCAAAGCACACAAATTCAATTAAAGCCTAGAAAATCACATTACTCATAATCCATTTAGAGGTATTGAAGTTTGAAGTCACATTAATGCCAAATTATCATTTGTTGTAACAGCCAATAATGTGAAAGTAATCAATGAAAGCCTATCAAATGATGAGTATAAATAAATATTACGATTGAAACAAATAAGTTCCATTTGCATTGAGTTTATATTCTTTGTGTTAGATTTCTTAACAGTAAATCTTATAATGGAGGCAAAGCATAAAACTTTCCATAGGTTTTATTTACCGGCCACTGCTCCAAGAGAATCAACTATCAAGAATTGGTATTGTAAGTTTAGACATAGTGAAATGAGTCCCGCAATCAATGAGCACAGTGGACGCCCAAAAACTGTTGTTACCGATGAAGTAATTTAAAAAAAAAGCACTCAAAGGTTTAGAATGGCCATTAGTTGAAATTTAATGAAATAGTAAGCAGTCTAAAGACTTATTTTGGTAACAGAAAGCTTTGCGCAAAGTGGGTGCCTCGCGAGCTGACATTTGACCTAAAACATATCATGAATTTAGGATTATGAGATGAGGATATGTTGAAGTGTAATTAACCAGAGTGTATTTTTGACATGAAATAAAAACTTCTCATAGAAATCAAATTTAAGAAAAGACGCGCACCACAAATTGGAAGAGGAGCTCGGTCGAAAATCGTTTCAGAGATTACACTTGCGTCTTGATGTTTTTCCAAATAAATGGAGGGGCTTACAGTTTACACCAAACCGCCTCCGAACGGCTGATAGTTTTTTATGAGCAGCCTTTATTTCATGTCGAAAATACTAACGGAGGAGTTGACATTTCCTGCCGAGCGGCAACCACAATTAGAAAATTTGACTAAATTTTTTATTGAAATTAATTTTCTATAATTTTTGGATGTTGGTCGTACCAGGGTTTAAACTTTGACCTACCAAATGGCAGTACGCAATGCTAACAACTCGGCTAACGCGGCCGACCTTACTCTTCTAAAAATGGGGCTGGAGCCACGGTGAATGGATTGGACCATCGTTCGTTGATTAATGATTTTTATTGCCAAAATTAGATGGTATTGATCTGGACAACGTTGACCCCCAACAAGAAAACGTTAGGTACCACGCAATCAACGAATCCATAGATCTTTTAGGAGGAAAGTTTCCAGGCTATGTTATCTCTCGAAGAGGTGATTGCAATTGGCAACCGCGATCTTGTGATTATACACTTATCGACTTCCTCCTTTGGAGCTACGTGAAAAATAAGGTCTACGCCTACACACCATCGTCGATTTAAGACCTCAAAGATGAGAATCGTGAAGGTATTGAGGGCATACAACAGGCACTTTGCGATTTGGTGATAAGAAATTTTATAAAAAGTATATGGCCCTGTGAGCTTAGCTGTGGCAGCCACATTGGCTGATATTGTTTTCCATTATTAATGGCATATCTTCCTCCTTACATTGAAATAAACATCGAATCATTTTTTCATGAATATCAAGTGTATTGCAAGTGTACTGGATAAAGCTTCCGCCTGTTAAACATTAGTGTCTAACAAATTGTCATTGCCGTTTCAGTAACAGTTGTTCTTGTTTTCGTAGTATTCATGCTCGAAAATGTCCGTTTATGTTCCTAATTCTCGCCATTTGAGGGAAGTTTTACTCTTCTGTTACAATTCGAAAAAAAAAAATGCAGCTGAAGCGCATCGAATGCTCTCAGAAACTTGCGGTGATGCTGCTCTGAGTGAAATAACGTATCGGGAGTGGTTTTAACGTTTTAAAAATGGTGATTTCCATGTGGAAGACAAACAAGGTTATGATTTGTATTTGGTGGGATCAGCTCGGTGTGATTTACTACGAGCTCTTAAAACCGGGTGAAACCATCACATGAGATCGCGCGCCAAAAGAAAAGCGGCCACAATATCAAGAGCGACATGACAAAGTCATCCTTCACCACGACAATGTTCTGTCTCACGTCGCAAAAGTGGTCAAAAAGTACCTGGAAACGCTGAAATGGGAAGTCTTGCCCCACCCGCCGTATTCCACAGATGTCGCCCCTTCTGACATCCACCTATTCCGTTCGATGGCACACAGCCTCGTAGATAAACATTTTCAATCCTTCGAAGAATTGGAAAAATGGATTGCCTCATGGGTAGCGTCAAAAGAGGACTCCTTTTTTCGAGCTGGGATCCCAAAAATTGCCGGAAAGATGGGAGAAAGTTGTCGCTAGCGAAGGACAATACTTTGAACAATATATTTGTAAGCACTTTTTCGCCATAAAGCTTTTAATTTTGGAAAAAAACAGCGGGAGGAAAGTTGTACACCTGATAATACGAAAAATAGATTAACCGAAATGATTTTATTTCGAATGTTATCGAAACAAAATGAAATAGCTGATGTTGAAATCACACAAACTAATCGTTAACGTTAATTTGAAAATGGCTGTTTTCTATGATGTTAACAGAACATTTCAATTTTATCGCTTAACATTATCTGTTAAGGACTTATTTTTAACGACAGTATTTCGTTTCTGTTAAATGTTACGTAAAATTTATATTGAAAATTGCTTTAACGATAACATTGCCATATGTTTCAACTGAATCGATTAAAATTTTTTGCTTAACCTGAAAACTATTGTTACGATGCAGCCTTTAGATTTTTATGATATTCATTCAATATCCACTCCAACTGTTTGACCCATACTCGTAAGTCCAATCATATGCTTATTGTTGTTGGTCAAAAAGTTGTACACATATTTCCTTCTAACGAAAGATTTTCTTCGTAAATTGTTTGTGAATGTGTTGCATTTATTAACAAAAATTTCACTATTCCTGAAAGCAGACAGTATAGCAACTGTTAAGGTGTGTAACATAGCTTTCAACATCAATGAGTTTCTATGACCACTACTTCATTTTCTTGCTAACTTTGCGGTCGTCAGATGTGGTTAAAGTTGCTTTGTTTGTATTTAATATCTCAATTTTACTTTACCCCAAATTCACCGCCTACGTTGCTGAAAATATTGATAAGCAAAATATACTAATTGGCTGATTAAGCCTATTGTGTTACCCAAACATACACACACCTACGCCCAGGTAATGAAATAAATACCCACTTTTGCATATTTGTACGCAAATACAAACATACACATGTAACTACTAGTATGTACATAAGGAAGGCATTGTTTGAAAATAAACTAAACAAACAATTATTTGCTTACATAGATAACAAATGATTACTCTTTAGCTGAAAAAAATCATTACACAAATATTGTAATATAATATATTCTACTAATTGTTTTTATTAAGAATAAAATCAAATTTAATATTTACAACACTTAAAATTGCATATCGTTTTATGAAATTTAATAGAAAACTGTTGAAAAATCTTTTGTTTAGTTGTATGTGAATACTGACTGAATAAGGCAGGAAAGCGAATGGGCCTATTAGTGAGATCCTTATAGCCCTGGCATAACCGTCAAAGAAAGCTGGACACATTTTTGCTACTACTTTAGAGATTATTGGCGGTATGCGCGCACACAAACTCTGGAACCTTGCGGAGAACTACTGTATAGAAGAACTACTCAGAAAAAAGTATTTCTCAAATGGGTACTTAGTTACAGGATCGTAAAATAATTGCTGTTAAGCAGAGAAACAAAAAAGACAATATATTTATATATAGATTGTTCGAATTAATGTGGGAACACTACTATATCTGTGACAAATTCCGGCAAACTTGGTCAAGATGGTATTGGAGAAGATCGTACCTCACAAGGCTTTAGGAAAAGATTTATACCTATACCTATAAAGCTTCTTCTTCTTTATTGGCATAGACATCACTTGCATGAGTCTAATTAAAAACAGTGTGCTATTCATTTCTCCTTTTCCCTGTTGTGGCACTAATTGAAAAATATGAAGTGAAACCACGTCCTTCTCCACCAGAGTGGAGCGGAGGACTTCCTCTCATCACACGCATCACAGGTCTAAAGCAATAGCAGAGTGGTTATCAGTGTGTAATGCCATTAGGAAGATCAGGCTTCGAATCCTTTTACGACCAACAACCGAAACTATAGAAAATCCATTTTTCTAACTGCGGTGGACCCTCGGCCTGTAGGTCCTTTCAGTTGTTCCGTTGTTCAATTAAGACACACCACACAAATTATAGGTGGGCCTTAGTCTTTGACTCAATAGGTTCTATAGGACCATATTTAAATAGCTCAGCCGGCAGTCTATTGGCCTCTGCAGATTTGTTTTTTTCCGGCGAGCATTTGCTATTCAAAGATCTTCATTGTAGGGTAATGAAACGATTGTTTCATCGTCATCGTTTTGTGAATTGTGTTCACCCCCTCCTGTTTTTCCCCTCCATAAATTTGGAATACTCGCCAGTTCTAGAGACCTGCAAGAATTTACACCAATCTTAAAAGCCACTTTTTCGTAGAACTTTCGAGCATTAGCCGTTTCGGTCAGCTTCTTAAGCGCTTATACTCGGTGTCCTTCTTCTTTTGTCTGCACAAGAGTTTCGCTAACCCATACATTTATCGATATTTATTCCATCCCGCACGTGTAGTGGTCGATTGCCATGTTTCGGGATAGGCAGTCTATTTTCTCTTCATTGCGGCACGGCACGAGGACATCACACCATCTGCTTTTTTTGACTCTTCCGAGAATTAATGGCTTCGTTTGCTACCTCATACCGAGTCTCTGAAAAGAGGTGTGCAAGTTGAGCAGAAAATCGTTCCTTCCTTGTATTGTTGACCGGCGTTCCTTGCTGCACTTCCATCCGGAGATAGCCAAGTAGTTTAGTTTAGTAGTTTTCTTGTGCTGGAATCTAACACTACAGACAATCATATTTCAGGCCCTGCCGTATAAACCCATTGGAAGTGTTTTGTCGTGAAGGCTGAATTTTCCGACAGTTGCGCCGAAGATACATTTTTCGTCTACCATGACGTTAAAGTCACCAAGCACAATTTTCACATCGAAGACGTGACAGCGTTCATGAGTGTGTTCCAAGCGCTTAGAAAAGGTATCCTTGATCATCCTCCTCTACCGTCGGGACGATATGTTGATCCTTCGTAGTGAATGCCAGAACTCAGTGACTTCACAACTCTCCTCCCACACATCCAGCAACAAATTTTAGCTCCTTTATATGTCGCAAGGACGTATTCGTCTCCAACTTTGCCTCGTCTTTTGTAATTCTTGGATAGCGAGGACGAGGGAATCAACCAGCTAGGCAGCGGCAGCATTCCAATTGAGGGATCGGACATTTCATGTGCCCGCCCTGAAATCAAAGTAATAAACAATTTTACAGTGGTTGTCATCAAAGGTCGGATCTTTGATGAATAGGCATCACTTTTCTGAAATAAGTTTTGCACTCTAAATGAATGAAGTAGGATTAAAAAATTCAACACTGCAATAGCAAAATAAATAAATTAGCATATTTCAAATTGGCATAACAATCGTCGTCATATTGAAAAATAGAAAATTGTTATGGCTGAATGAGCTCACCTCCCCAATCTAGTTGCGAAAAAAAATTTCATTTACAAAAATATTGTTACCACCGTTAAAAAAATAGCTAGCAAATGCAACTGACAATAAAAACAATTATCCATACAAATGCCATTCGATAAAATTCGCAATAAAATTACCTTAAAAAATCCAACAAATTGCCAAAACTGCAATATTCCGTTAGCAATAACATTTGATGCGAAGGCTTTGTGCAATGACCAATGATGCCGACAATATTCGGATGCGGCTCCACGGACTTCATCACTTCGATTTCACGGCGAAAAGCGCGCTCATCGTCCAGCGGTGGATGTTCTAATTTACCGGCAACAATAAAAATAAGCAAAAGTATATTGAAATGAATTGATATAAAATTGTATGGACATAAAAATGCTTGATGGAAAAATATGAAAATTTTTGCTATGTTTGCATTTAATATTTTTTCACACATATGTACATATAAATATTGTACAAAATTGCTCACATATGTATGTGTATATTTGCATATATTGTATATTGCTACCATTGCTCTAATGCAAATCCAGCGTGGTCCATACCTTTCAACATTTTCACGGCCACTTCCCGCACACCCACTTTGCCATCGTTGTACAACCCGCGTCGCACCAAACCAAACGCACCTTCGCCCAATACTTCAAGCAGCGTAACATCTGCGCGGTCAATTTCCATGGCGTCATTCAAAAACATCTTATCTTCCAGATACTGGAACTGGGAGAAGTTACTCGTTGAGGTGATTAGATTTTTAGTGGGAAAATCAAAGGTTGCCTTTGGATCGATGGGCGCCTTGCTCTCCAAGTCCTGCGAATAAAAAGTAATGAGAATAAATCCAATTAAATATAAGAGGAATGAAATTTCACCGCAAAAGGCAATTTCCTAAAAATATATCCTAAGAATTTGATACCTGCCAATTTTTATGGTCTTTTGTTCTATTTTTACTTTTAGTTTTTTGCGTACAAAACACCGCTTGTCCTTGAGTACATCTAGTCAAATTTATTGAAGTATGTACCAGAATTATGTTGCTTACTTACACTTCAACAAAATGATTGTGTAATTAAAAAAAACACCACTTTCCCCCTCCCCCCTCGCTGGGCATGTGCTCGTATTGCACGCAAGCACACTTTTAGGCGTTACGAAACGTTAACGAAGATGATTGTGGAGATGACTGTATTGTACAACCCAGAGAACTTTTTTGTTTGAATTGAGCTCGAGGTGCTTTTTAAGCATTGTTAAGGGCGGATGCGATAGCCGAGTGGTTAGCATTGTGTACTCACACTCGGAAGGGCATCTATGACTATAGAAAATTACTTTAAATAACAAATTAAGTACTTTCTAAATGCAGTCGCTCCACGATAGGGAATGTGAAGCTCTCTGCGGGTATTTTTGACATAAAATAAATGCTCATCTTTAAAATCCATAGGCCCTTTCTAAAAGGAAAATAAAAAAAACATTTTATCTTAGGGTAAGTCTTCGTAGCCGAAACGAATTCATAGTTTTGTTTTCAATGCGAGTGAAAGCCGGCACATCCGAAAAATTGAGAAAAATGGAATACGAACCAAACCAGGCACGATATACGACATCGGCATACCCCACGAGTTGTAAGTGTACGCATAATTTTATCCAGCAATAGAATAAAGAAATCACACCTTAAATGGTCATTTTTCTCTGAAATCTAATTTGGTGCCGAATGGCTCAGAGGAATTCTACCTAGTGCTGGTAACCCTTTTGGTGTTGCTCAGTGTTAGCTTAAATAGTCGTATACGTTTTGTGGAGTTGCTAAATTTTGACGAAATTGCTTAGAGACAAGTCCTTTCCGTGGCGAATGTTGAATATCAGAATTGTAGAACTCTCATGCCACCCTGAAAAAGTCCAACCAATTCGTTAACAGTGGGCTTCATTCTTTCAGTAGCCAGATAGAACTTTATATGCGATATTAAAGAGGTTTATCTCACGATTTGAATATCTCAAGCGGTAAGTCGTCGGTCGCCAATTTATTTTTATACGGGCAATTCTTATTTGGATTTCTACATAATCGGGTTATGGAACATTTGTTTCATCGAAAGTGATTGGGAATTCGGGTTCGCCCTCTCCTAGTGTTTCAATTTCAATATCATTCAGTATTATCAATTGTTAAAACCTTCTGAACTACGCCGAATTTCGGAAGCATTTCCTCTGTCAGTCAGCTGCAAAAGCTCTTCATACCAACAAGCTTCTCGCCTTTTCTGTCTGCAAATGCCATTTTTAATTTTCTTTTAATATCTCCCATTTATATCTCTCGACACGAAATGTCAAGCTTTTTGAGTGTATTTTTGACATAAAATAAAAATCTTATTAGAAAAATATATCGGTAGGTTTCTTCAATTGTTAAAATGACACCCAGACGTACACTATGAATTGCGGAAGGAGCTCGGCTGACATAGCCAGGTAGGCAATCGCTTTGCTCTCCACTGCGGTACAGCAATACGTGAGTTGCTGATAAGTGTTCTCACAATGGACGATATGGTTTTGAGCTTTTGGATCCAAAACCTGGAAAGTACCTTGAAAAGATTTTGTGTATCGGAATCTAGTACTACAGATAACCATAATTCGGTCATCAGTGAAGTCGGACTACACATACTCATTAGTGTTTGTTCCATTATGGGTTCCGAATTTTCGAGCTGTTATGTATGAAATATTTACTTTGCTCATTCCTCCTTCAATCAGCTGCGGTATTTGCTATTCACGTCGCACGACAACCGCAAATCTTACGCAAAACCTCCAACCTCAAAATCTCTTACCGCTGACTCATCGGATGCAGTCTGCGTCCATACATCCGTACCAAATAGCAATACGGAAATGGCGAGTGACTTAGATAGTTTGGCCTTTCTTCAACGAGAAAGGACTTTACTTTCCAATTGCCTATCTCAGTACAAAGTAGCACTTGTGGTCAAAAATGATTCTCCTTTGGATATCCAGACTGACATATTGATGTTAATGCTGGTTCCAAGATAGACGAAATTGTCTACGACCTCGAAGTTATGACTGTCAACAGGGAGGTAAATGCTGGGTCGCAAATGAAATTACTCCTTTCTGTGTGTGCCGACTTTTTTCGCATAGGTCTTTTTTAAGATTTGGCGTATGGCGAATACGTTCGATATGACCTTATATGCCATATTGAAGGAGCTTATTTAACGGTTAATCGCACAGACTGTGGTCTCGGCAGATTTTAGTGGATTGGGCAGAGCACGCTTAACTGCCAATCGTCGAGCATGCGTTCGTCCGACCATATTTTTTGCAAATTTCAAATAATTTTTTCGGTTGCCTTGGAATATTTCAGAAAAGCTATTGTCCACTGGAAAAAGTCAATTTTCGAAGCATAACTAGTTTTTATGACTTTATCCGTTTGAAGATGGAAAGGGAACTTTTTTTTTTTTTTTTGTTTTATCAAGAGATAAAGTACCGTAATTATAATTAAAAAGAAATGAAATATTTTTGTACGCTAAAAATGATATTTTTATTTTAAGCGTTGCGTTAGTATGTAGATTTTTTATTTGCACAAAATCAATTCTTTATTTCGAAGTAGATTTTTTTCAAAATAATTCTATACAGAGTTTTCCATGAGCTGTTATTGTTGAGAATAAATGTAAAATGAGTGAACCTTTTTCAAAATCACCGAATAAATTTGTGTTTCACGTTCGAGAACCAAACTTTTCTCTGTTAACTGGGATACATACACAAAGCCGTATGTTTGTGTACGTACTTGCTGCTGATTATCGACACCGTCCAAGTAGGCTAATCAAATTCAATTATGTAACGAACCCATTTGTCACTAATTAATTGCCAAATGCTTTTGGAGTCAATAACTGCGCACGGTGCGATATGATAGTCTCGCACATAACACTCGAATGTCAGCATGTGGTAGACACGTAAGAAGTATAATAAGAGCAAAGTTATACTAACGGTCTTGTAAGACTATGCACTATGAGTTTAATCACTTGTTTTTCACAGCGAAAAAGATTGGAAAAATTCACGAAAGTCTGTAAACGCTCGCACTTTTCAATCTTCAACTTTACCTTCTGGTTTCATGCAGGATGGCAAATAAGTAGTAATCGATGCACAGCGGTTGTTATGGAAAGTTGCTGGTTTTATATGAAGTTTTGTAAAAAAAAAGCTCAAAACAAAGCGGTTTTCAGCTAAGCTTTATTGTTGCAAATAGAATATTTGGCAGGTATGTATTGTTCTTCAGAGTTTTTAGTTTCTACTTACACCTTTTCATTGCAACTTATCATTAGCACATACATACTTATATTAGCCTTTTTATGCAAAAAATATAACAACTGTTTATATGCGAAACTACTTTCGGATGTGTGTAATGCTCCCTTGATTTTGTTCGCTCTCCCTTGCCCGCATTTATCAATACTTCTCACGGAAACATGTGCGGAATATGTACATACAGTACATAGAGTGAGCCGCAATCATGTGCTAGAAATGCTTTGTCTACAAGCCAGGAGTGCTTAGGGTTGAACATATGACGCACCACTTCACGGAAATAAATACATGAAAGTATTAGGCCAATTGAAAATACCAAGTACAGCCTGGTCCTTTTCTACGGAGTGGAGGTCTTCCTCTTCCTCTGTTTCTAACGGCGGGTACTGCATGGAAAATTTTCAAAGTCGAAGTATTCTTATCTATTCAGACGACATGACCAGCGTAGCCGCTGTTTCTTGATTCGTCCATCGTTCCATCGGCTGCGGTATTTGCCATTGCCAGCTCATAAAGGGCCATAAATTTTACGCCAAACCTATCTCTCAAAAACGCCTAAAGTTGACTTGTCATTGTCCATGCTTCCGCAACATATAGCATGAGGGCACATGACTTGTCAAATCTGGTCTTCGTTCGTCGAGGGAGGACTTTACTTTTCAATTGCCTATTCAATCCAAAGTAGCACCTGTTGGCAAGAGTGATTACGAAACGCCGTTATGAAAAAAATTGGTTTTCTGCATTGGCAAAAAAAAAGTTGATGCTGGAACCCGAAACCAACCCAACATATGATGATGGAAAAGACTTTCCACGGGGGTAGTGTCAGAAGAAACCGTGAACGATTATTGGAACCGAAGTGTACTCTGCCACGTCAATATCGTGTAAAGGTTTTATCGAGCAGTTTGTATGAAATATTGAAGCTCACCGTCAACCAACTGATTGTATCTTTTAATGTGGCTTTAGATGTGGTGAGTCGGTCATTGACCAGACATTTACCAAGCGTCAAATCTTGACCCGTGAAAAAAGGATTGACACACCACCACATTTTCAGCGACTTTGAAGCCGCCTTCTACAGCTCGGTAAGGAGCGGCCACTGCGCACCAACAGTGTCCGACTATATGGTGTAAAGCCTAGACGAGAGAAAACTTTTGTACTCGAACTTGGAACTCATCACCTTCCTCATCGCAATACACATCCATACATTTAAAAAACTCATTAAATTAAAAATTAAACATTTTTTAAAATCGTATTTTATCCCATGAGCCAATGCACAGAATATATCTCTAAGGAGTGATAAAATTTGTATTCTTTAATTACAATCTCTCTTAACTAAAAAAATACCGTTATTCCTGTTTTCATATTACTTGCAGTATCAACAGTTTTTCACCTCCTCTCTGAACATTTCAAATTTTTTGATTTAGTGGACGACACACATTTATTTAAAATGTTATTATTATATTTTTTTTACAAGTATTTATAGAATAAAATCGCATTTACTTTCATAATCCTCTTAACGAGGATATGTACCAACGTCTGTAACTATTTACATATGTACTTGTAATCTCCACTTACCCGAAAATATTTGCAACGTTGTTGATGTCTTTTGTACTTCGCATAACGGTAGCGACCGTAAAAAAAGATGAAGCCCAAACAGGAGAGAGCCACTATCATGGCGGCGACGTACTTTGCATTAAGTTGACTGTTTTCTGTCATTAACCAAGCGGATGCCAGACACATGAAAGTAAAAAAGGAGCAAGGATGTAAAACAATTAAAGGAGTGATAAATGTTTGACGAAATTAAAAACCAACAATACGAAAGTAACGAAATTGAAAAGCGAATAGCAGTTAATAAATACTCGCAGAGAAGTCAAAGATAAATGACAACCAGCAACAAAAAAAATACGTATCCATCGATTCCAGTGCAAGCAATAAGGATAAATAATTTTTTTTTTTAAAATAGCTGTTCAAGACATCTGCAAGAGCACGTCCGTCCATTGTGAAACATTGTAAGAAGCAGCGAATTCTGTATTGCAAAATTTGAGTGAACTCTGTTTTTGTTTTTGCAATCTATGGGAAGGGTGACCCCACAGTCTGCGTCAATTATTATGGGTGAAACCTTCTTAATACAAATATGTAACATATTAATAAGTGCACACTTAACGAACTGATCGGGCCTTATTATTCTGACCTTAGTCTGGGGAAATACCCATTCAGAGGGAATCGGCACACACCTCCTCTTCGTAAATTTTAGGGCAACCTGCGATAGTGAGAAAGGGAGTTGCGTCTATGCTGCTAAGTTTCTGACAAGATGACCCTTTAAGGGTGCAATTTTATCCTCTTTGAGTTGAGTTGAGCGTTGTGATAGCGTTGTGGCGTTCATTCTTCTCAGCTTCTTATGTACGAACCATATCGTGCGCCTTATGAGCGATGCGGTACTGCTTATACCATCCGTTGCTGCGTCAGCCAGACAGTCAAAGAAGTGATGTACTAGGTATTTATGTCTTGTGATGTTTAGGGCTGGACAGTGACAGCGGGTATATAGTACTCGACAGACTCTTCCTCTTGTTCGTCCCTGCAGCTACGAAAAAACCCATTGGAAAAATATAGCATTCTCCCTCCGTGAAGTCCCATTAAACAGTGTTCCCTTAGTATACTTGTTGTTAAATTGAAAATGAACCAACCTTAGCGGATTAGATCATTTGATCTTTTAGCGTGAATCACAGACCAAAAGTCGCTAAGTCATCTGGTATTGGCTGTTTTGGAGAAAGCCAACTTTAATCCCACAATGTGGGTAGTATATATTGTAGTTGACAGGTAGCTTCTCTCACTAGCTCATTCGTCATGTAGTTACTTGGGATGTCCTTATGTTTGGGCACTCAGACCACAGCTGTATTGTAAACAGCTTGGCTTACCGCTAATTTCCTAATTTATTAGTTTCTACTTGAAGGAGGCTGTAGTAGTCTGATAGCCACAAATTAAAATTGCTTGGGCGCATAGGAGAGGGAATTCCACTTTCTACCCTTCATCGAGTTTGGAGCCATCTACAATATAAAGAGCATTTGCATGTTCCCATTCATTCCTGTTCGGTACTCTTGTGGAGAAGAAGTTGTCAAAGCATTGAGTGGATACATTGGAAGACAATATCAGGGCGTGCCCTGAACGCGGTACATACTAGGCTGAGCCGGGTCAAATCTAATGCATTTCGGCTCGCTTGAATTTTGCCATATACATTCAGGGGAGGAAATAAAGAAAGGTTTCCAGTGCTTTTTACGGAAACGACAGTGAATTTGACCTCTGAACTCTACCCAGGTCTGCTCCTTAAAGTAGTATATTTGAGTGCTGGTCACCATACAAGGACCACTCATCTGCGTGCTTCTGGCTATCGCTGTATGAATCCAATGAACAATAAATGGTTTTAAAGTCCATCTTTTGTTAGCTTTTCACGGCCTTTTAACCGTGTTTCAGCCTTAGTTAAGCTTACTATCAAAAATTATCCCGAGATATTTAACTTCTGTGGAGGAAGTGATTTCCATTCCTTTTTGCTTGAGTGGTTAAAAAGGAAGTGGTTTATACCTCCTTGTGAAATAATCATTTTGGTTTTTACTGGATTGAAATCTAGCCCACATACTTTGCAACAGCTTACTACTATTAAATTTTTTTGAAATTTGCGTTTTCTTATCTGTCGCTGTTAGGGCAATGTCGTCGGCGTACGTGAAAATCTGTGCTATGTAGTTGTCGAATCGACGTGTTTACTGTGAGGTACCATAACAGTGGGATACCGGCATTGCCTTTCAACGAATATGCCTCCTGCCTCCTGTTCCTGTTCTGTAGGAGGGATTTCACGAGCTTTATAGCCGCCAGTTCAAGATCCAAGAAAACTAGATTTTAGCTGGATAAAATTTCATCCATTTGCAAGCTTATTGAGAGTGGAAGGAGTGACAAGTTCTTCTTAATTTAACAGAGTTTGTGATAAAATAAAAGCAAAAAATTATATCTGAGCCTAACCATATTCTGGACTATTTATATCGCGATTTATTTTTGCCATCCATTTTTGGAATATTTAAAACCAAGCTCAAACCACCAGAGGTTTTCAGCACTCCTTAAAAAAAAATACATACATACATTCAGCATAAAGTTTGAATTTGCGATTCTTACAAATTCTCTGTGGAACAATCAAATTCAACACTTTATAAAGGAGTATTTTCGATTTCATGGCGGGTGAATGATGTGGGGTGAATGTGTGAGAATTAAGCTCGGTTTATTTCACACCAAATGCTGGTGATTTGTGTGCATTTGTTGAGACGCGCAGCTTACCGGGCAATAGTAGTGTGCGATTATTGACTTCCTGTGTGAAGACAGATGCATTCCCACCAGGTGTACAGGCAATCAAATGTACATCAAAGAGTGTGCCATTTAACTCGATTTCAGGTATAAAGTACACAGTGCTGCTCTGCAAAGAAAAATAAAAAATAATACAAGTTTTTTTTTTTTTGTATATTTATTTGTGGTTTTGAATGGGAAATTATAAGATTATACATTGCTATTGTAGAAACATAAGAGTTTTTAAATATCAATTTTGTGTTATTTGCACAGCTCTAAGTTCTTCACTCTTTGACGGAAATGCAGGAAAAAGGCCTTTTTTTGGAATTTCTATATTGAGTTTTACCTCAATTGATGAACGTTTTGAATGTTTGGTTTCAGTTTACTTAATACCCTGGAGAAGACTCTTAACTTAAGCGATATTGAGTAAAAACTTTAAATAAAATTTAAATCTTCTTCACTTGCATAGACACCGCATACTCGATTATAGCCGAGTTGGCAACAGCGCGCCATTCGTTTCTTCTTTCCGCTATTTGGCGCCATCAGATTCCTATTTACCTAATCTATCCAACGGAATTGAGGTTTTCCTCTTCCTTTGCTTCCAACGGGGTATACTACAGGGTGATCTAAGTAGAGATCCTTTTTTCAATAGCCTTTCTTGGTAAATCACGCGTGTGTCATGTTATTTTCGTTCAATATTGTTTGGGATTTCTGCATGGAAAGACTTACGCCTGGACCGCGTTTACAAACCAATTTTATTCCGAAAAGTCATGTTTTGTATAGAATATAAACCAAATTTAGCTCAAAACGGTTTTTTTTTTGAAACTCTTCCCTTGGGAAACTCGAGCTGCTTCAGTCCTTGCACAAGCTATATTTTTTACGCTTTCAATTCTAGATCTCGACGTAAAATGCACCGAGCCATTCGATCATCCGCGGCTTTCGTGTACACGCTCAATTACGGCCGCTATGTTTTCTTCACTGCGTGCTCGGCATGGTCTGTTCGGTTCCAATAATGAATGCTGGGTCTGAAGGTGAGTGATGGTGTTGCAAATATTGTAGTATGCTCAGTGGGCCGATTATGTTGATCATAAGTAAAGTTTTGCGGCCTTCGCTTTATTCATGGTCAACATTTTACGTCGACTTTCCTAAGCGAAAACTTCAAAAAAAAAAACAACGTTTTGGAGCTAAATTTTGTTTATCTGAGACCCATTTCTGGCTCAATAGGTATGTAAATAAGGAAAATTGCCGCATTTAGGATGAAGAGCAACCTGGAGCTTCAAAGCTGCTATTTCATTCAGAAATAACAACGGGTTGGTGTGGCTTGAGAGACGGTGCAATCACCGGTCCATATTTCTTCAAAAATTATGCCAGTGAGAACGTAATCGGTAACCGTCAATGGCAACCGTTATGGCGCTATGATAACCGACCATTCAATGCCTCAAAGTGATTCTCGTAATCTCGAAGACATTTGGCTTCAACAGGACGGTGCCACTTGCCACACATCGCAACAATCAAAGGATTTATTGAAAGAATATTGTACTTTGGTGAGCAGATTTTTTTACGTTTCGGGCCAGTCGTTTGGCCACCAAGCTCGTATGATATGATACCGTAAGACTTTTTCCTGTGGGGATATATAAATTCTAAAGTCTATGCGGGAAATCCTGCATCAATTCCCTTGGAGTAAAACATCATGCGTGTCATTCGCCAGCGTCATTCACCAGATGCTCGAACGTGTCATCGAATATTGGATTCAACAGATGGAACATCTGAAGCTAAGCCACGGTCAATATTTTAAAGAGATAATCCAGAGAAAATAAATGCCAAAGAACGTTCTTGCAAACGATAAGAAACATCCACCACTGAATTCGATTTACCTTTAGTTTTTTTTATTTATGAAAGTAGGGGCCTCAAAGTGGAACATTCTCGGCATCTACATTATATACTGGAGCACTTTCATTCATTCAGATGCATAGACACTGTTTCTTAACTCGCTAAACTATGTCATTGCCATCGAATAACTCATACATCTCATCCGCTGCGTTAATAGCTGTTGCCAGTGCGCAAAGGACCATAAAGTGTATAGTGAAGTGTTTTCATACTACTTACTTTTGAAGTAGACGTAAATATATATACTAAATAATATTCTCGTGCTAAAACATAAATATTTATATATGTGTTATTTTGTAGTTGAGTACTTACCTTATTAACGGTAAAGTTATATTCGCGACCAAATGTATCAAAACCATCCACAATCACAATAATATAGCTGCTTATAGGGTGTTCGGGTTTGTCCCAGGTAACATTCAAAGAATAAGTACTTTCTCGTATGTATTTCCGATCAACTTTCAAGTTTTTAGGTGGAAAAGGTGCTGAGGAAATAAGAAAAAAAAATGTCTAAAAAACTACTTAATTAAAGAATATATAAATATAATAATCATAGCTTAATGCTTAAATAACTCAGACATTTTTTCATAAGAGCAAAAACTGCTTTCATATTCGAAAGCAATACACTCGCAGCGCGAAGAGAAAGCAGATTCGCAGAGTATGCTGAAGGTCATAATCTCCATATCGCTATTTTCCATGAAAGAGTGTTTGCTAAGTATGAGAAAACTTTGCAAAATATGCTACATTCCGCTGGGTGGCATAGTGACTCCGGGAAATCTGTATTTATTATTAAAAGGTTTAAACAAGTGAGTGGAGTCAAAATAAAATTAATTTTCTATAACTTTGGATTTTGATCACGCCAGGATTCGAGCCCATATTTTAAAATTTCACTAGAAAAAATTTTTTAATTTAAAAATAAATTTCTTCCAATGACAGACAAAAAAAATTTTGGGAGATTAGCAGAGAGCTTTCGGCGGTTATTTGAATAGAAGACCTACCCTCTGAAGTTTTGAAATGTGGTTGTTGTCATTATCCCATCCGCGATGGATCTGGTAGTAAATGAGACTTTGATGAAATATAGTATCGTCTGCCATCAAACCAAAGATCGACGCTGTTACATATCGGATGCTACATAATTTTAGACAGTAGTCAACACTGTCGAGCCAGCAACAACAAGTTCAGTCTTAAAATTCAACATATAACCAACTGTACCAACGGGGCGTACTGTATTAAACGAAATTTTACACAAGATGACTTCTTTAACCTAACCTACCCAGCAGAGCTAGATATAAAGGGTGATTTTTTTTTTTAGCTATCATATTAGCTTTGTGGCAACACTGGTTTAAACAGCTGACGCACATACGTGTTTTGTGTCACTGTCAAACATCTTCAGTTTGGTCAAGAATTTAACCCCGAATCATCTTACAAACGAACAACACTTGCGAAGTATGGAATTTTATTATCAACATGCCTGCTCTGTTAAGAGAGTTCATTTCAATTCAATTGCGTTCAGCGGCGAAGCGATTTTGGGGCGAAGATCAGCCAGTAGCATCGTAAGAGCTACCACTGAATCTAGAAAAAATCACAGTTAGGTGCGGTTAATGGCCTAGATCGTGTGATTTAAAGCCTTTAGACTATTTTTTGTGGGGCTATGTTAAATCTAATATCTATACAGGCATTTGGGCTCAATTGACGCATTGAAGCATTTATTCGTGAGATACCGGCCCCAAAAGTTGGACAGAGTTAGCTAAAATTGGACTAAGGGGATGGATCATTTGAGGCGCAGCCACGGTCAACATTTGCATGAAATAATCATCAAACATTAAGGGGCACACCTAGTGTGAAATTTCAAAAAAAAAAAAATCGAAAAAATCAAAAGTTTTTGGGTTATAGCAAATTAAAAAACAGCTCGGCAGCTAGAGAGTCTCATTAGCTACAGGTGAAAACGATCATTTTATCGTTAAACGCGTTTCTCTCGAAACAGCATTTTCCGAATTTGCTGCAGTGATTACTCAAAAACAAATGATCCGATCACTATCCAATTTTTGATTTTTGAATTTGATCTGATCAAAAAATTGCATTTCGGCAGGCCAACAATGACCAAAATTTTGGGTAAAATTAGACTATTTTTTTTTTAAACGCCGCCATATTGTCAATTTTTGATTATCTTTATCGTAGGTCACTGCATAGACAATCTTATCGAGATTTTTTTTTTTCAGATTTCATCCTCGGAGAAGGCCGCAATCACTGCAACAGTAAAGGACCTTTTTTCCGCGCCGTGGAGATCGACTATAACTTAAAAAATATAATATTTAATTTTTTTCTTCAAAAATTTTACTGTATATTCTTCAAACATGTATAAATATATTTTAAAAATTTTGAAATAATTGATAAAGTATTTTTTTAATAAAAATTCCCAAAAATCACCTATTTTTAGGCCATTACACTAGGTGTGCCCCTAAAATTATATCGACCTTAGTATCGATTCAAATGAAGATTTCATGAATTTTTCTGAATCTTATGTATTTTTTATTTTGAAAATCTTTCCTCTAACTCTTAAAAAATCACCCTTTATATAAATAGATGATACAGTGCTCTCTAAGAGCGTAAAGTTGCTGGGAGCGAGACGAGGGCGTATGGTACAAAGAACGAAGAAAAGACAAAATATCTCTTCTAATCGCAAAAAAAAAACACAGTCAACGGAGTGAATAGTAAATGTTACATAGACTACTAAGACACGGCGGCGATGTCAGCCGCACTTTCCCAACTAAAGGACCAGACATTCCAGGTGCATACCCTCGTATTGTGATCTTTAAAAGGTATGCGGGGGTTGTCATCAAAAGAGAGGTCTCTTATCTGATGCTTTTTTGGATTTTTCATTGGATTTTCTTTTTCAAGTGTTGACTGCCCAGAAGATACTTGTTCAAAGACCGGAAGTCGTGAGTTGCTTTAATCATACGCATGACAATCGTTTCTGGACACTTTCAGGTGGGTGACAGTCAAAAATTTCCCTCACTTGTGCTGTCTAGGTCAGGTCATCCGGAGTGATTGAACACTACAGGTTCAAAAGTTTTCCCTGCAATACCTAGTGGCGAATGCAGAGGAAGAGGAAATATCGATAGCATTCTTTTACAAAGCTAGTTGTGTATATACCTCTCCTTCTTCCCAAGGTGCTAGTATGTGAAAGTGCATATCTTAAACTCTTGGGGTATTCAACCGTACGAGTCTAATTCTCAGCGGAATGGAATTGCATTAAATAGTAAACAAATTTCTTGCTGCATTCAACTTCGAATATAGACTGAAATTGTTGTGATATTATTATTGACAGTTAGGAGATTACTGACAAAGGCTAACAAACACATATACATGTATTCATAGGCATATATGTGTTTAAACTCAAATAACATGTCCTTAGCTCAGTCACAGAAGTTGCAAATATACCGATATATATATATATATATATATATATACATTTGAATATGCAAGCTCCTTTGGATACTGGAATGCACGTGCTTGACGACGACGACGATGACGATGACGACGGCAGTAACAACAACATAACGCGCCATCGATAGCACATGTAAATGTTAATGACGATATATCTCCTGCTGTCAACATAAATGCAACGACGTGGATAATTGATGAATTGTTAATGCATTGAATATACTAAATTTATTAGTAGCAGTGATTGATTTCTATTATGCTGGCCGATCATTGTGCATTTATGTATATAAATGTATTTATAAGTGTTTGTACATAAGTATGTGATGTGCCCCTAAGGAAGTTTAATAGTTAGAGCGTTTAGTGAGAGAGATTAAATTCTAATTCTTCGAAAGGGTGTCACGAGAATACGCCAAGCATATCGGAGGTGATCGAAAAATTAATAGAGCTGATGTGTGAATGTTTTTTTTTATCTATCTTTTATATTTGTAATTCAGTCCGAAGTGTGTATGTATCAGAGTCAGATCAAAATAACGAGATCAGTTGATTTAGCCATGACTAACTGTCAGCTCATTTTCATACATTTTTCATTGAAAAATCATCTTGACTGATGGAGCCCATTTACGTCTTTATAACTACGTCAATGAGCAAAACTGTTGCATCTGGGTGTCGGAACACCAAATATTTATTGTATTGAAACGGCTTACAGTAATCCACTTGTAACTGTTTAGTGCGATTTATGATCCGGCGTGGTCAACATATATAACCAACGAAACCATTTATTTTTCAGAAAAAAATATCTCGAAGAGATGATTGCAATTGGCCACCGTGATCTCGTTGTTCAAGACTTCTTCCTCTTCATTTGAATCAACGTGAATGATAAGATCTCCACCAACAAGCCAACGTAGATTTTAGATCTCAAATATGGAATTCGTGAAGCTATTGAGTGCATACGGCAACCACTTTGCGATTTGATGATGGCAAATTTCATAAAATAGAATACGGTCCTGGAAGCTTAGCGGTCATTTTACTGATATACTTTTCCATTATTAATTCTTCTTTAAAAATAAACATCCGACCATATATTGTACATATCTCAAAAATTTAATTTTTTTTTTGAATATCAATATATCTTTCCACTTATTGGAAAACCCTATACTTAAATAAATTATCTAAGAAATTGAAATAAGAATTTAAAATTCAACAGTTTTTTAATGGATTTCACATTGGTACCGAAAATAATCGAAATCTTAAAACTTCTTCACATATTTATTTCCGAAATGAAATACCATAAATTTGATATGCCTGGATTGCGTTTTCGCCTTTATCGAAGAAAAACTATCAAATTCGGCGTATTTTCTCTTCGCTAGTGTCCAGCTCCGACGTACGCTCAAACCAAACTGAATCAACCAATCACAAAACTGACATTCCAGTTTATTAGTGATTACGGCGAATTGAGTTATTTCCGCGCCACTTTTTGTTTTCTTGAAGTTTTCTCTTGGAAAGTCTTTTCAAAATGTAGTAAAATTACTAAAAGATATTAAAAGGAATTGCAGCGGGTTTTGAGTGAGAGAAGAACACGAGACGCAGGCTTACCACGGTCCGAGCAAACTTTTGAACTGCCTTATCAATTCAAAGTAGCACCCGTTGGTAAGAGTTATTCTGCGTTGGATTTCAAGGCTGACATTATTATTGATTTTAACAAGAAATTATCTATTCTATGATCTTGAAGTTATGACTGTCGAGAGTGATGTGCTCTGATATCGAACGGCTCGGAGAGGTGCTTCTTGATTCTGATTGGGCTTCTGGTTTTGTCCAGCGTTAGTTTACATAGCTGTATAACTTTTGCCAGAATACCAAATTCAGATATAGCTACGAAGTGGAAGCTTCTTACTGTGCTGTAGCGATGAAAATTTACACAAATGATAATAAAGAAAAGCTATCTCTCCTTACTTCCTAAAGCCACAACTTCCTCATGCAAATTTAAATTAATTGAATGTTATTGTAACGTACATATATAATATTAATTTCGTTGAGTTGACGTACTTATTTATTATAATAATAGTTTCGTATTTAAAGCAACTATGAATAAACATATTTTGAAGCTAATCCATTACTCGTAGAAAGGTTCTCAAAAGTTTTGGGCATTTCAACAATCACTCTATCTCTCACTCTATCTCTCACTCTCTAATTCCCTTCATTATTTATGTACTTAATTTTAGTTGTCAGTAGAGATTATTTAAGCTCTCTCATATTATAAGTAGGTACTTCTGTTATACATATATGTATGTAGGTAAATATATTATTTTGATGCCATCAAAAATTCAAAATTTTCTCACGAACATTAAATTTGATACAGTCGGTGGCAACTAGAAGTGCAACCGCACATTTCTCACGTACAAAAATGTCCAAAAGTTAAAACAAGACTCCGATAGGAAAGTTCTATTACATAAGTTTGAATTGAAGTTACTATAAACATTATATAACATTACAGTTTGTTAGTGTACGTATGTACGAGCACCTTTCTCTGCGCATAGTGAGGTAAGTATGAAATAAATTAGTTCACAATACGACTCATTTAACATTATTATTACACAGTAATGTGTTACGTTTTACATAAAACACCAGTAACAAATATTGGAATAGAATTTTTGTATCCGAAGTAATGGCAGAGAAATTTATAACGGTGTAACATATAAAATTATGTGAAAAGCAACTTGCTGGGAAAGAGTAACCAATTTATATGACCTTAAAGTGAAATTCATCAAGTCTACGAGTCTCGTAAATAGGCTGCCATTTTTTGTCTAAAAAAATTATCTAATGGAAGTGAAACCTTGCGTACTACCTCTTCAGTATTACAAAAACTTCAGACTTTAACAAATCTGTGCTTGAGAAGACTGATCAAAATATCGTGGCCTAGAATAATTTTGAATGAATAGTTTTCGAAAAACAGAAAGGGACCTTGTGCCTCGGATGAACGACCCATCTGTTGATGACGTATTTCGATTGCCTATCGTTTAAAAAGTAATAAAGCAGCTGAAGTTGATAGTCTGCCGGCAGAACTATTAAAGCTGACAAGGTGCAAACATCAGCTTATTTGCAGAATAGGGTCGGACATAAGCACACTCAACAATTGAAGCTTAAGAGTGTTCTATCTAATCCATAAAAAGGAAACGAACGATCTGCCCCAATTTCCGTGGTTACCTACTCGCTTTCCTTATACTGTCCATCGCACTTCTAGGACACTTATTCCTACGACGACATTAACTAGCTGGGCAGCGTCACCTTTCCAATTAAGGGACCGGAATTTCCAGGTGCATACCCTCATATCGTGATCCGCAAAACATTTACAGGGGTCGTCATCAGAAGGTGGGTTTATCCAATCGACGCATGTTTAAATTTTTCATTGGAGCTGAATGCGCCAAAAATTCTTCTTCTTCGGCTCATGTCGAGCAGTCTTTATGGACGTTAAAAAGTGGAAAAAACAATTATGGATTTTGCACCATTATAACGCACCATCGACGCTTGTGCGTGAAATTCATCGGACTTGGACTCCGCTGACTTTTTGCTCTTCCCAAAACTGAATACACCGATGATAGGAGAGCGTTTTGCTAAGATTGAGGAGGTAAAAGAAAAATCGAAACAAAAGCTATTGACGATACAAACAAACGCGTTTCAGAAGTGTTTCGAGGATGGGAAAAAAGGCTGACATATATGAGGGGGCTCTGAGCGAGATCTAAGGGGACGAAATAGTTATTTCAAAACCAAATTTTACACAGATAATTTTATTATTATTATTTTTTTTAATTTTTTTTTTTTGCTCTACTGGATATAATAAATATTTTTTAGTGCTTTGCAGAACTTATAATTAATGTGATCCTAACCTCAGCTTAACAGTTCGTTCTTCTTTCGCGTAAGGAAAAATTCAATTGAAATGCGCACAGCAATCACTTTGCACCCTTGCGGCTTAGCACTTCTTGGTGTCTTAAGAGCGGTTAGTTATTGAATCTGTTTATTAAATAAATAACTTCCGCGTTCTTTGCGAGTTATCAAAGTAATCTGCTTTCGGTAAAACAAAACGCGAATTGATGAAAATTTTCTTTGTTTCTGCACTCTTCACCACAATCTACCCCCATAAATACTTCATTTCATCGACTGGTCCGTCAAGATGTGTGTACATAAAAACTTTCATATATACAATCTTTAAATACACATATGTTTGTACCATACATTTATACATGAGTATTGTATTTGTAATTTTCCTTTAACTTACGGCATATAGTGAAATTGTAGTTGTACCACTCTGCACAGGACGGCGTCTGGATTTTTAACCATTTCATTGCACTCTCCTTTGATGCATTTTTCGTATTCTTGGCGAGTATACCGACCTTATATACAGCCGAAAAGGTTAAATTTTCTAGAGTATAAGTGTAGAGCTGTCGTGGCTGGCAGAAGGATGTTGATGATGAACGTTGAGATGTAAAAGAAAAAAAGAAAATTTATTAGTTGCTTTGCTTATATGTACATGAATAGATACATCTATTTAAAGCAATAGCCCACACTGCTGACATATATTTCAATTGCTGTATATCTGTTAACTTAATTACTAGGTTAAAGGTAAAGCTTCCTCAATTAGCCGTAAATTACGCAAAGTGTACTACAACTAGTGTACTGTGGGTGAGTCAACAAGTTTCGGCCAAACTTGTCCTAAATTTACGTGAACTCAGAAAAAATCTTATTTCGAATCCTATGCGAGTGTGAGAAGCATACTTTCTCTCGTTTTCGTGCTCTTTCGTATTTCTCATGCTTTCCGAGAAGGATGTCATCGTTTTATTTATTCTGTTCTGGTTAAACGAGCGATTAATTAATTGGTTGGTCACTCAACATGACTCTCAGTAGGCGAGTGGTTCCACCCAATGACCAGAATGAGGGGAGAATTAAGAATAGTTGGCATAAGGATATTTAAAAAGTGGTTATTGTCGTGTGGAAACTAATAGGATATCTAATAAACGTTGGGAATTTTTCGATCTTGTTTAAAATACAAAATACTGACTTTTTGGCTGGGCTTGAGCGTGTCTAACGAGATTGATAGACGGAATTTGGAATGGATGGATGTGATGTGACTAGACGAATATGGAAACTGATTAACGTTCGATGTCGCCTTAGATAAAGCCATAGTTCTGCTGTGGCAGAGCTGTTGATTTTGGTCTCCAGTTCATAAAACTGATTGAATTTTTGATCTTGTTAGGGTTGCGAAAATTGCTCAATTCCCTGTAATAATGGTAAATGAAAGGGAGTGATATACATGATTTTTTTTACGGCTAAAGAGACTGCGACACTTAAGAACTTTTACAGCTTGTAATAACTTCTGCACGAATGCAACTTCCCCTTTACGTATTATGTGAAACAACACAGCGATTGGCCGCATCAAAGCCGTAAGATTATAGCTCAGAAAGGGTGCACGGTTTTCTACAGCACCATTGAGACTCTGCTGGTGGTTTCTTGCATACTATGTAGCAGTGGTGGGAGTAGGTCTTAAGATTACTCCAGCACAGGCATATGGCGGCTTCGCAATTCAAAGATCTAGAAGAAAACTCCATGTTGGATATCAAGGCACAATCCACAAATCCGAATATTAGATATTTGATTTCGATCCAAAGTTAGGAAAGCCAAAAAGCGTACTCTACACAAAGCCGACACCCTTTACATTAACCTCTATCTGATACTACAAAGCACAATCAGACCGATTTAAAGCTTATGGCCAACCAAAGTAGCTTTTGATTGGATTTAATATAAGTCCAAATCAGCATAAACTGCAAGAAATAAACTCCAATACTTGAACAGTGAATTGACCAAAGTGACTCTTTCTCGATTATCATAAATCAGTGGTAAGCGCGCATTAGATCGCCGAATTGAAGATTCTTTCCACCGGACTGTGGTTGCAGATGTATAATCCAATTCTTATTGGCAAGATTCATGTGCAGAAGCAGGAATCCGCACTTGTTAAGTATTATAGGTTATGTTCATTTTATATTGACTGTTCCTAAAAAGCCCGCTCCAAGGCTGAAGTGACTGCACTCAGTGATACTTTTGCGTTCCTCGATTATTTTTTCTGGGCTGGTAACAAAACCAAATGAAGGAAATTTAAACAGTTGCTCGTTAAGGGTTTAGAAGCCTAATTACCACTTAGTCAATAATGAAACGATCCGTTTTTCTTCAGAAAAGCAATTCATATTATCAATAAATTTTCATTAAGCAGACCAAATTTGTATTTTAAAATTAAGGAAAAGTATATATATATATATATATTATTATTAATATTTGTTGAAGTAAAATATAGTTGTAAGTTTTTGTGAGCACAAAAAGGCCATAAAATGTTCCGCAAATTCCAAAAGTAAACCTTTTCATCGAAGTGGCACTGTTGGAAAGTGTTATAAAAAAATTTGGATTTTTAGAGCGCCCTCACAAGATAAAGAGTTTCGTATTATGTTATCTTTAGTGCAATGAAGGTTTAAAGAGAGAACTATGGAGTTGCCACTAGTTTAGGTAAGCAATATACAATATAAATATAATTGAATATTTGTAATCGGCCGAGCTCTTCCACCTGTTTGTGTAACGCATCCTGATGTTTTTCCAAAAAATGGAGGGACCAACAGCTTCCGAACGGCTGATTCTTTATGAGGAGCCTTTAATTCATAAATACACTCGGAGGGCTTGACATTCACTGAGAAGTGTCGACCGAAATTAAAAAATTTTTACTTAATTTGTTTAATTAAATTTCGAACTCTGGCCTTCCGAATAGTAGTACATATTGCTAACCACTCGGCTATCGCGGTCTCCAACTTACTAAAAACTAAAAGTAAGCTCACAAGCAGACAATACTAGCTGCATATAATATTCAACTACTTACATTACGTATTTCCATGGATATCATGTCGGCACCCGATTCGTCGTAGTAGAGTATAAAGTAGCTACAAGTTCGGTCTATATGGGCGAAAGAGAGTAAAAGCGGTAAGTGATTGAACGTTTCAAAACACTTTTTTGCAAACATAAAACACTGATTGATATATTTTCAAATTATGTGGTATGAATGATTCTTACCTGCTGACGGCTGCCAAGTGATATCCGCCATTAAATGCATTTCATTCGTATCATCCGGAAGGTAGCGACGTAAATTCATATCGGCGACAGAACCGGGGGTGTAATCGTGTTGTAAAGTTGAAAACTTCTCTCCTTTCGTTACAATCGTATACTCATGTTTAGCCGTCACCGCCACAGCAGAAATTGTGTAGGTTGTGAAGTTATTTAAGTCGGTTATTGTGAAGAAATTCTCGTAGGACTATATGGGTTACAGAAATGAGAGGAGAAAAAACTAGATAAAATATCAACTTTATGTTTTTGCCCTTTAAGAGAGTTTATAAATTCATGTCAACTTTTAGAAACGGTTCTTAGCATGAATTGAATCCGCTGTCAATATCGGTTTTTGTTTCACAGTTTTCGCGTGATGGCAGCATTGTAAAGACTGCTAAACACTTAAATAATATAATTGAGTTGAATTGAGTTGAGTTGATACCGCTGCTGATCTGTGCGAACAACGAATTCAGACCTAAAGGGCCATTGCAGTACCGTTATAGAGTACTTCTCACCTTCTTAGATGTACGAACCATTTCGTCAGCCTTATGAACGATGCGATACTGCTTATATCAGCCGTTGCCGCAGCATCGAAAAAAGATATTAAAAACTTTATGCTGTAGGTATGATGAGCGACTACTGTTGAACTCTAAGAAGTGAAGCCGGTTTCAAGCAGTCCAAAAGACTCAGGTCCACCTCGCTTCATTGCAATAAAATCACTATGTCATTGAGTTTGAAGCTAGCTTCGTGATTGATGTGGCACATAACTTGAAACGCTGCTACTGTCTGCAGCCTCACATTGAGATCTATGAGTATAGATATGGAAGGACAATGGAGTTACAGCTAGCGATGATCCTGGCTTCCGTCCGTTCTACCCTACTAGTGAAGGAGTAAGCGACCTCTATCCGTTTCTCGGTCGCTTTTTAAGTTTAGTCACAGTTAATAAATTATTTTTGTTATTTTAAGTAAATTTATTTATTCAATTGTGGCCAAAAATCCCGGCGGTACTGCAATACCGGACCAAACCGTGACGCAGGTGAAGCAAGCTCCTAAAGCACTCCGTTAAATTTCTAACTTTTGTTATCCGCCAATAGAGAATCTATCAGACTACTACACTTTGGTCTTTGCCATGAGGCCGAGAAGCTCAGATATAATTTTGTGAATGCTACCACGTGCTTCACAATGAAACCAACTGTGTAAGACATTTAGGCGGCTAACTGTTTGCCTTACTTCATACATCAGTTGTGTGCTGATTGCCCTAATAACAAGGTTGACTATCTTAAATACTTTCACAGCTGGAGTGCTTTCATTCATTCGGACGACATGACCTAGCTGGGCAGCCGCTGTCATTTGCTGAACTATGTCATCGTATAACTCGTAGAACTCATTGTTTGATTATCTGCAATATTTCCAGACTAACATTATTATTGGGGAGTTAATATCGATAACTAGATAAAAGAAATTATCTACGACCTCGCCACAGTGACGTGTGAACCACGTTGAGAATGCAATGGCTGATTGTTTGATGGTCTTCAGTTGAAAATTCCGCTATGGAATAAGTTAGTGCGTGGCTCTGCTAGTCGATTACTGAATTAGGTTAACACCCTTCATACATAAGTATAAGGTTTTTAATATTAAAGCTGAATCTAAAGGATTCTGAATTATATTACTTTTAAACTAAACTTAATTGAAATATAAGTATCTCTAGATGTTGATGTGTTGTATTTGATTTTATTAAAATATATAAATTTTGACAAATCGGGTTGTACTATCAGATTACCGTCACATTTGTGACATTTAAACACTACACTACTCACACCTAATCCTTAATCTGTGTATCCGTGTATATACATATACATTTGTAGTCATGTAGTACAACAGAACAACAACAATATAATACAATTTATTTGCAACTAACTCCTAATGTATTTGCAGCAACAAAAGACCGCAACGTGAAATTTGATCCACAAACCCACACAAACACAAACACAAAGACAAACACAAATGCAAACACACACACACACGCACGGACGCGCGCGCACACACGCACACAAATACGCACTCATACAAAAATACGCCCACCCACTTACCATATAAACAGTAGTCGCATTTGTATCGCCTTGTACTTTAACCATAAAAATCGCATCGGAGAGCTCACTCATTTGTTCGCTGTCGCCATTGGGATTTGTCATGGTCGCCTGCATTGGGTCTCTTATATCCATTGATAGCGTAAATGCAGTGTGTTCCTCATCTTTCTTTTTAAACAAAATGTTTTTGTATTCATTTCCGTTTGTTGCTCTTTGTGTTGCGTGCCTTGGTATCTCTGCACCGTTAATCTGAGTTGCATTTCCAACGCTACGCACGTGTAAAATGCGAAATGTCAAACTTTTGTCGTCGCGACAGACTAATATCATGCGATAGTTTAGTTGTATATAACGGTATTTTTCTAACTGCTTAACGGTAGTTGTATTATCACGATTACAGTGGTCAGTGCAAGCCTGATTAGGCTGAAAGTAAAAAAAAAATTGTTAAAAATAAAATACGACAGTTAGAAAATTTCTAATAAGGATTGATGAACTTCCTGAAACGGTTTGTGTGTGTCAGTGCAATAACAAAAGGGAAAAGAAAAAACTGTTTTTTTTTTTGCGGAATTCGACTGAACGTTGTCTCTGCTCAGCTAATGATAACCTCTGTAAGTCATCCTAAAGCGAGTAACCTACGCAATATATTAAGTAAAGCTTATTTAATAGAAAGTCAAAATATCGGGGCCCTGAGACACTTCAGAACTCCTTTTGTACGACATAAACTAACGAGAAAAGAATAGTCAAGGTAAAACCATTTATAACGATATTCATTTGGAGAAAAACACTTTTACATACTCATATATTTGTAGCGATTAGTCGATATGGTAGTATAAATGGAGACACTGATAGACTTCTATTTATTTATAGTGAAAGCTAGAGGACTACTGGCTGCCCAGAAACTTGTATGAAATCTTAAATTATTGTAGATATCTTGGACTGGAGGCATGCTAAACAATTACTGAACTCCTTCTTCTCATGCTACTTACCTCTAAGACGAAATATTTTCAACAAGATCTAGGTTTTAGTAAACTCTTAGTAAGATTAAGTTACGTTGGGATCTTAAATTGCAAGCGTACAAAAGATAGCTTGTGCAGGAACTGAAGCTGCTAGACTTTCCCAAGCGACATTGCTTCGCCCTGTGGGGTCTTGAAAACTTCCAAGATGATCCGACGTTATCGAGCCAAATTTTGTTCAGGGATGTAGCCCGTTTCCGGCTCAATGGATATGTAAATAGCCAAAATTGTTTCATTTGGGACGAAGACCAACTTGAAGAGATTCAAGAGCTGCAATTTTATCCAGAAAAAACAACGGTTTGGTGTGGTTTGTGGGTCGGTGTAATCATCGGTCCATATTTTTTGCAAAATGATGTTTGGCGAGAACGGAATCGTCAATGGCGGTCGTTACCGCGTCATGATAACCGTGACTGAAATTAAAACTTGTCGTCTCCGCGATATCTGGTTTCCACAAGATGGTGCCACTTTCCACCTCATCACACTAGTCAATGGATTTGTTGAGAGAACACATCAGGGAGTAGATAATTTTAGGTTTTGGATCGGTCGATTGGTCACCTAGATGGTAGACTTTTTCCACTGGGGATATGTAAAGTTTAAACTCTGTGCGAACCATCTCGCTTCGAGGTAGGCCTTGGCGTAAAATATCTCGCGTGCCAGTTATCATTCGAAATGCTCGATCGAGTCAGCGACAATTGGACTCAAAGGATGGACCATGTGAGACGTAGCCTCGGAAAACATATGAAAGAGATCATCTTCAAAAAACGATGATATTTGATTTTTCTGGGTTTTGTTGTTTCTTTAAAAATAAGGAACCTCGTAATGGATCACCCTTTACATATATATATTTTTTTTTAAATTCAAGCGAGCAATTCTTGTGTTTATACTTTTTAATTTTTTTAATATATTTATAACCTTCATTTTAAGATATAATAATACATCACTAAGCGAGTAGAGCAGATTGTATGTGTGAATTTATTGAAACTCTACGCTAGTGTCTCTTGGAACTCAATTTTCGTTACCCACTGTGCGGAAACCAGCTGAGGTTGCACAGCCATCAATTGCAAGTGCTCAAGAGAGTAAAGTTTGCATATCGTCACCTGAGTAGGCATCGTCCAAGCAGCCTGGAATCTTAATAATCGGGCCTCGGTATTTTAACATGTGTGTGGTGTAATATTAATCGACTATCTTGTGAAGGAGTGATACCACCAACAGTAAAAATTATAACGCGTTATTTGAATTTTTGACGCAAGAGGTAATTTTTTTACAAAAATTTTACCGAAGTTTCAGATATAAAATTTTCTGATATTTAAAGTTTTTTTCGATTGTTTAATTGCTTGCGTCATATTTCGGCTAGACAAGTCGCTTCATCCTCGGAATATATGAAACATTAAGTAATATCTAATGAACATATTTTATACAGCTAGTAATTTCTCAGACTAAGAAAATGTACGCATATTGAAAATCATTTAAAAAAAAATTTTTATTTTTTTGTCATGCTTCGCATGGTCTATGAGCAAATAACATCCACTTTAAAGTATTTGAATGTCAACGCTGATCTCTAAAAAACTTCTCAACATTCAGCACCGCCTACTCAAACTTAAATCTGCTTTGTAGTAAATGAGAAAATTCTCAAACAAATTAATTACCAAACAAAACTCTTGCCAATTTCACACTTACCGTTAAATCGCCAGTGAATCTATGCTTTCTTAATCGATGCATGCAACGCAATTTGCACCCTGCTATTGGGTAGTCTTTCAACTCCAAGTTTAAATCGCGTAAGAGTGTCTCCTCGCTGGCACTTCCGCCCAGCAGAATCCAATAGACGAAGAAGTAGCGCAGCAATAATATCAACATTTTCTATCGCAAAGCTGTGTAGTATGTGTTTGATGGTGAAAAATAGTAACTTTCTAATTAATTAATTTATATTTATAAAAATTTTTTATACCTTTCATGAACATGAACTGGCATATTAACATTGGTGAAAGGTATTTAAGCACCAGAATCAGTTGAAATAGATACACAATAATTTATACCGATTGATTTAGCATAACTCAGCTGAGCTGGTTAACCCCCATGTTCGTCTGTACGACCGATTTTTCAAATTTGAGATTTCGGGTCATAAATCGGCCAAAAGAGCAACAACTAAGAGCGTGATATTTGGTATTCTACCCAAGTGAATTCAAATAAATATTGACAATTTGTGACATGTTCATGAAAGATATTAAGTTTTCAGCAGACCGAGAGACGAGGGCACTTCTTTGTTGCTCTTATTTTTTTTTACTATTTTTTTTTTTTGTAAATTTTTTTTAATGGACTTCATTTTGATAATATTTCAGAAATTATGTGTTTCCTTTATGAATAAAGATATGTGTGTATGTATGTGTGTATATACTTGCCTTTGTTGATATCCTTTTGAAGGTTTTCTGTTGAATATCAGATCACTTTGGCAGGAGTATTCCTTTCATCAAAATTAATATATATACATATATGTGCATTTGATTGTTGACTCAATTCATTCCATCATTCACTGAAAGAGAATTAAAACAAAGTTACGAATTAATTTTATATATGCAATAAAATGTATCTTTAATAAAATAAAAGTTTGCTATTTATGCATTTCATTTCAAATTGTTCATATGTAAAGTTTGCAGTGTTTTACAAGTGTACTACGTACACTGCAGGAAAAGATTTACTGTTTCTCACAGCTCTGCTAGTTTTTCGCTTCTTCTCCCAGGGCTCGGTATTTTGGCATATGAATTCCCTGCGGAATGTCAACCTCTCTAATTGTATTTGTCCTGACTTACAGCCGAAACAGCTGATTGCAGAGACCTGAAACTTGGAAGGAAGGTTTTTCTCTGTATGACGTATAAATACGAGGGTTAGTTCGCGGCCTTAAGTACTTAATGAATTAACTTCACAATCCCAATTTCTTTTATTTTTTCAATATAGTCTCCCTCAAGTGAAATTCACTTTTCACATCGTGAACGCAATAGCTTTACACCACTGGAAAATATTCAATTATTAAGATTTCTCTTCAAATTGGTTTTCTACGGCCGCCTTCATTTCACTGTCATCTGAAAACCTTCGTTCCCGAATTTTTTTTTTATGTTTTTTTTTATGTTTATATTGGGGACCTTAGAGTGGATGATCGATTTCTGTAAGTACAGTACAATGTTGTCTTAAAGAAACACCACTCCGCCCGCTTACTTGTCACGTTTCTCCTGTACGGTTGCTTCACGCGTCTAATGTCAAGAAATTAGCGTAATACTGGCCTTTTATTGTAGTTCCCTTTGGCAAAAAAAAATACAGTTAATAATATATGATAGCCAAAATCTCCGAAGTCGAATTTTCCTCTTTAATTTTTTTTTTTTTGTGGAATTTCCTCTTTTTCTTACTCACTGCATCGATTCCTGTTTGGACGCGGAATTATATTGACGAGCCCGAGTTTCATCAACTGTTACAATACGGTTGCAAAACTCACCCAAATCATCTTGGCACAACTTTGTCACTGCTTGTCGAACGGCGTGAGCATTCGCGGTACCCAACGCCTACTAATTTCTTTCATATTCAAATGTTCATTAAAAATCTTTCCATCTCATCTGTTGCTAATCTTTAATCCTTCTGCTAACTGCCACGATTTAATTCTTCCATCAGCCAGTACTAGTTTTTTGACATTCGAAACATTTCATGACCGTCACTGGGCGCCACAGGCGGATGTCACCTTCATAGGTCTCTCTACCTTGTCGAAACAGTCGAACCCATTTTTTCACCATCGTCAGAGTCCTGGAGTACCGATGACATCTCTTTAAAAATTACTTTCGGCGTCATTTTTCATTTTTTTACAAGGAATTACGAGAATTTTAAATTTCTGTTGATATATTGTTGTTGTTTGTTCCAGGTACGAAATGTTAATGAGCCTAATCAAAAAGAATTGTCTGTACTCTATTCAATATAATATAGGCCCAAGAATAATACTTTTAAGAACACCAGCTTCAACTGGAAACAACACAGTGATAATTCCGATTTTTTCACGGTAAATTGCCTGCTAGACAGATATGGCTCAAATCTATTGAGGAATTGTATAGGCAAAGTTTTATTAATTTTGTGTAATAGACCTTTCTGCCAAACCATGTCGAACGTTTGTGTCGTCAAAAAATATTGGAAAAAAATTTGTCTTCTCTTCGTTAAGGAACGTCTAGTGGAGTTAGTGGCTCAAAGGTTTGAAATTCTTATGGGCCTTCAAGAATGAATATTTTTTGTTTCAGTGCAACTTTAGTTTTTTCTCTCTGATTTGAATCGCAACTTTCAGGCAGAGGAAGGATTTACCTGATACTTTTGCATTACTAATTCTAGTATTTGATTGATGCGATGTGTGGGAAGTGGCACCGTCTTGTTGAAACCAAATGCCGCCAAGATCACCTGTTTCAATTTCGGCCATCAAATAATCGCTTAACATGGCGCGATAAAGGTGGCTATTGACGGTGGCGTTTTACCGTTGTTTTTTCTGGATGAAATGGCAGCTCTTGAATCTCTTCAGGTTGCTTTTCGTCCCAAAGGCGGAAGTTTTGCTTGTTATATACCCATTGAGCCAGAAATAAGCCTCCTTTTTAAATAAAAATTGACTAGCGTATCTGGTAACACCTTGAGTGTTTCATGGTCTGTATAAAATTTCCTAAGGGGTCAGTCAATTCAACATAACCTAAACTTTATTTAGCTAGTTATAAGACTAATCTTCACATGTAAACAGCCGAGTAAATGTAAGCGGAGTACCAAAGCTACTCAATGGAATCATATGGGAATTATTGTCTTATAACATACAATACATACATTTACTTGAATTTATCATATTAAGTAAAAATGAAAATAAATTACTCATACGCAGAGTTGTACCAAAGTTAGTAAAAATTCCATAAAACCAATTTCGAGTGTCTTAAGGCAATTTTCATATCCAACAAGTCCATCAACATTGATTTCAAATTAAAACTAAGCCACACTCGGTGCTTGAAAACGCTTCTAACTGACCCAGTGCAATTTGAACTTATTTTACAATTCTCTTTTTAACCAACGTGAAACAACTTTTCACTTTACCGCGACAGCTAATGTCTATTTAATCATCGTGGAATTACAAAGTATTGAACTGTCTCAGTTATTTATAGTCAATCGCCTCTCATTGCTACAACGAAGTTTCCTCTTCGGAACTGTGGCAGACAAATCCATGCATTTACACACAGGCATACATATGTTGTCGCAATGGCTGTCAGTATTCGCTTATAATAATCTCACTTCATGGACGTCAATTTCTTATAAATTGTATTGAAATTAAAATAAACGCTAGAGAAGCTAAGTAATTTTATACTCGATTGTATGTGTACTCGTAGATATATGTACACATGTACGACTATATAAATATTATGCACAAATAAGTTAATAAGGCAATAAAATGTTATGGCATTTAGTGCTGCTTGAAATAAAAGAAAAGTAAAATTATTTTTGTGTCGTTGATGAACTTAAAATTGTATAAAAATAAAATATTTCTAGATAGAAAATATGTATAGACTAAAATATTGGAACATATAAGATATTGAAAGACGTTAGAAGTGTGACAATTAAGTAATGAGACTGATTATATTGCTGCAATTGTGGTAACCCAGCGACTTTGAAATTCTCCTTCCTTTTTATCGGCATCATTCTTCTCGCCATTGATATATTGACCATGGCTCGGGCTTGTTAAGTTCGCTTGCTGTGTCGTGTTGAGTAAACGAGTGTTCGTGATACTCATCGCGGATTCGGAAAAACGAAAGCAATGCACCGCGATAAAATTTTGCACCAAATCGGGCGAAACAGCTTCGGAAACATACACTAAATTTGTATAAGAGCATGGTGAAAGTCTACTATCGCCAAGTACTCGAAAGATTGCGAAAACGAGTCAACAACGTGCGCTCAGACATCGTTCATAGCTGGATCCTTCATCACGACAACGCGCCGTGTCACACCGCCCTCAGCGTGTAACAGTACTTGGCCTCCAGAGCGATTGCCAGGTTGCAACAGCCGCCTTTTTTATCCGATATGTCACCCCTAGAACAAAATCGGTGTTAAAGGAACCCACTTTGGGTCGATTGAGGACATCTAGGCGGCCGTGACAAGGGTACTCGCAGACATCCCAGTCGAAGAGTTCTAAAAATGTTACGAAGCATGGAAAATGCGCTGGAACCGTTGTATAATCAGATCTTGATATATACAAAATATTGCTTGACTTGAATTTTGACTCGACATAAAATATTGCTTGACATAAAATATTTCAGCATAAAATTTGGGTGAAAATACAATATTGACAGATTTAAAATATAGCTTGTCATAAAATATTTCCAAATTTGGCTGGACATAAAATGTTGCTTAACATATAATATTACTAACATAAAATTTGGCTTGATATAAAATATTTGTTGGCGTATAAATATATAGAAGATTGCTTCAAACAAATTTTGACTGGGCATAAAATATTGCTTGACATGAAATATTGCTTGACATAAAATTTGGGTGTTCAAATATTTGCAAACATCAAATTTGGCTGAGCATAAAATGTTGCTTGGCATGAAATATTGCGAGCTTAAAATTCATCTGGAAATAAAAATTTGGGAACCTAAAGTTTGGCTGGACATATAATATTGATAAAGAAAAATGTCCTAAAATATAATTTTCTTAATTGTAACGAAAAATACTGGCTTAAAGAAAATTACTGCTACGTACAAAAAGTTGTAAAACGGAAAATTTTTCTAAATACGAAAAGGCGTTATAAATGTAAGTACTTAAACTGCTTTAGAGCAAAATTACTGATGAGCAATAATGTAATATAAAATTTTGTTGTGAGATATCTAGATATTTTTATTCATAGAATCATATGTATTATAAGATATGATCCGTTAAGAAAATTCTGAAAATAAAATCTTGCCTGACGTAAAATATTGTGAACAAAAAGTTTGGCTGGACTTCAAATATTGATAAAAAAAAATATATAGAAAACTTAAACTTTTTTGCTCTTAAAACGTAATTTTCATAATTTTTACAAAAAATGATTGATTTAAAAACAATAACTGCTAAAGGCGGCATAAATATACTTAAAAAATTTAAAGCAAAATTTTAAAGTAAGAAATCATATAATCGAAATATGGCTCTGAGATATACACACATTTTTATGTTGGGAATCCCCGTTATACCAACACTTCAGCGCTGAATGATTATCATCATCACTCACTACAAAGTCCGCCATCTTTTAATGTCTCTCTGTCGGATTTTCAAAGAATCCAGAGAAAACAAAAACCACGAGGCGGCTTAAGTTCGGGCGGAATTCATCCGTTCAATAATTTATAATTTCAATAAAATTAAAGTGCAATCAAATGTAATAAGTAAGGCAATGGAAATCTCAAAACGGCCAATAAATCGGGAAATAAAAAAAGAATAAAGCTGATAAAATAATTTGAAGAAGAAAGTGACTGTGGTTGAAGAG